GATTGGTGGTAAATAAGAATGTACAGTGTTTCTGCATTGTGGTCTTCTGAAAAACTGTTAGGAGGCTTTGCTCTCAAGGATCTTGTACTTCCAGATTATTTCTGGATCCTTCCAATTTTAAATCCCTGAAAATAAAAGATGGGCAAACTCACTCTAAGTGCAGTAATGAAGTGATATCCAGAATTTGGTACTGTAGTCAACTGATTTAAACAAATAATAGGAGCAAAGATGTTTAGCATTAATTACAGGGCAGGTGAGGATTTCTAAGAGCCTACAACTGAGGAAAGGGAAGTGACTGTACTGCCATATATAGTGCTGTTGCAATCACAGGTCCCTTCAGAAACTGCAGGTTTAATTTGGTCTAATGTTCACTAGGTACCAGTGAAAGAGTGCGATCTAAGAAAAATTCCCCCCAAACCAACATTTTGTTGCATATGCTGATTAGACAGCTGGCTTACATGGTTATGGCCTTTCCTGTGCAGAGACTGGAGAAAGCCTAACACAGGCTTGCCCAAAGTCTTCTACAATGAAGTTTCCCAGTGGTAGTAATCTCTCTCTCAGTAGAATTATCCATTAAATAAGTTGTCAGTAGCACTGAGTAACTGTACAGCTTTGAGAGCAAATTGTGTTTGTGTATAGAAGTTCTTGATGTGCTCTACCATTTTCATCCTACAGTCTTCCCTCAGCCCAATCTCTAGGAAATGAATGAATTTCTCACAAAAACAAACAAGTTTTTCCACCTCTTCCAAGTATGGGGTTATTCATACATTACTTCAATGGTCTGGCTTGGGTTCCCTGCAGCCAGAGTTACCTAACGTGATGTTTTGGTTGCTTTCAAATACAAACTTCCTGCAGACAGTGGGACAGCTGCAGTCCTACAGACTCTCCACCATGCAGTGATGCAATTCAGAAGGAGAGCATTTGCATCTGATGTGGCAAATGGCTTCTGTGGTGCTCGCAAGAGCTTGAAAAGAACACGTGTTGAAAAGCTGCAAGAGCACGTTTTGTTCCAGAACAAGAGTCCTGCAACTTCATGTTTCCGATCCAAACAACTAGGTATCACTGTAGCACAGAAAAAGTTTTTTTTTTTATATACAATTTTTGTTCTCTGCAATAGAGAGTCACTTAATAGCTGCCCAAGTTTTCAAACAATTGAAACTGAGCAAGTACCAATGGAGATGAGTTATCAGATTACCCCCTAAACAGCATTCAGAATATGATGGAAGGATGGATGCACAAACCTGAGGATAAGTTGGTAAAAACACCAGAGGATTTATATCAATGATAGGAGGCAGGACAGCAGGTCCTCTTCCATAATCCCACCCCCTAGCAGATCATTCAACCCCACAGACTCATGCCTCTGCTTTAAGTCAGTGAGCCCAAACCTAGAGGTCCCAGCAAAGGCTTGGTATAAGCACTGCCTGTTTGTTGAGCTGCAAAGGGCAGAAGATTTTTACATTGTGGTAAAAGCATGTGTTCTGCTGGGCTGGTAAAAAGGGCCTACAGTATAGTGTGAAAGCACAGCTGAAAGATTGCATTTGGAAACGCCAGAAGTGCCAATAATCAGAAATGACAAATTGTCATTTGATTTGCCAAGTCCTGAAGGAAAACTGCATTCATCTATTGACTAATTTAAATAGTTACCTCTGCTTTGTGTTCTGGCTTGCCTATCTCACTAGTCTCAGACTGATAAGTCAAAAATTTCCCAGAACATCCATCACTAGCTCTATTGCTACATACAGCACCAGCCAAGGCAAATAGTTTTTTCTCCCACACTTCTTGTCTGCAAACCGTGATTCCAGTAATCACCTCAGTAACAACAGGTGAGCAAATAGAACAAGATCCTTATTTTTATTTTCCCCCCCTGAAGAAATGGTTACATACTCCATTTCATGGAGGTATTTCCTTCTTATTATGTCCTGATTTGCTTTGCCTTTGCTTTGGTGGTGAAAAAAACAAACAGCACAAAACTATAACTTTACTTGCAAAAATACACAAGGAAAAAAAACGTCTTTCAATTCAAGTTCTAAAAGCAGTTTTCCAGACATCTGCAGTTATAAAGACCTGCCATTCACGTGCTCTGGTAAATTATTAATGATTCATTCAGTACCATGGACAGATGATATCACTTCTGCAGTAGGAATCATCAATATTTTCTATTAATTACTTTCTCCCAAGACAGTTCTTAGCTGCTATCCAGGTTAAACCACAATAAGACCAAGAATTGCTTAGTTTAGTTCAAGTCCAGTAACTTATATATATATATATAAAATATAATAATATATATACACATATATATTCAAAAGTAACAATAATCTAGAAGCCTCTAGAACCTCCAGCCTGTGAACCCTTGACCATGTGTTTTCTTCGCTGAGTTTTGTCTGGTGTTTCAAACTAGTGTTTCAATAATGAAAGACTGACTTGATAATTGATATTTATAATCTCATTTCAGTTTCAGGTGCCAATACAGTCAATGAAGTTCTATCTTGTCAACTTTCACTACTTCTCAATTTTAGCTGTGATTTCACCACTGTTTCTGTAGGTGGTCATCCCACTCTTGTTTTCCAGTACAGTTTTTCTTTGTGTAGCTATCTCAGCCCAAACTCCACTCCCCCCCCCCTTTTTTTTTAAAAAAAAAAAAATCTGCCCTCTCCTCATTCACTACTTACTTTTTCACATTTTTCTTACTTCTTTTCATTTTTTAAACTCTTTTTTTTTTTTTTTTTTAAAAAAAACATTCAATGCTTACTTTTTGCCCCTAAAGCACACTTAACACTGTCATACTTTAAGATTTCTAATTTGTTATACTTTTAAGATAACACAATTTACGGTATATGAATCCTGAACTGGTTCTAGATTAACAGCCACCGCTTCATAGCCCTGTTGGACAAATCCCTGCTCTGGCAGCCTCGAGGCTGTTTTAAGGAGCTCCCTGCAGTCCATGCAGGGCTGGAGCACCCTGCAGCACTACCACCGCCTGTCTCACAGCCAGGTCGAACAGCATGGCCCAAAGCACCATTGGCAAGTTCACGCACCACAAAGCCTCCCCAGAAGCGCTGTTTTGTTTCATGTAGGATGCCTACAGAACACGTGGGTTTCCTGGCCTGTCCAACCTGGCCTGCACATCCACTCCGACGTCCTCACGTGGAGCAGTTACTGGATCAGGAGGGTGAACACCAACCACGTTATCAAGTTCAGTTCCAGAATACAAATGCAGCAAGAGTCCCACAGAGCAAATTACACCGGGTCTGCTTTAGTTAAACTTCTATTGCTGCTATATCAGCATGGCAATTACTTCCTAGCAACGTAGTTAGTGCTAAGGCAGGATAAAATTGCTCAGAGGATGATAAGCCTGTATTGTCTTTGCACTTGGAGTGCACTGGATGAACTGTTCACTGACATTTAAAACCAGATAGTCTTACATTGCTGAGTATTGAAGAGAAGGAAAAATCCACCTCTACTATCAGTCATAAAAGTAATAGAAACTGCTGTAAAAATAAAAACAGTTGCTGCGATAATTATGCTCTGCCTTTCTAGAGAATTTCCTAAGGTACAGTATTTTTTTTTTTTCCAGCCTCAGAGGTGACACCAAGAAACAAGGAAGAAATCCAGCAGACAAGTTACCTGCTCCAACAGCCTTGACAAAGGGTCAACTGCTCTGCAAACAAGGAGTTAACTGTTAATCATTGATAAAAGAGCTTAAAAGAGCACGCTTATCATTTTGTCTCTAGCAACTCAGTCTGGATTTCTTGATCACTGTGCAGTGTTATAATGAAGCTAGTGATCTAAATAATCCAGCGTGTTTTTTTTTTGTTGTTTTTTTTGTTTGTTTGTTTTTTTCCACAACTCTCTGAAGAATTTTTTTCACTTTTGTACCTGCACTGGCTCTGTCAGCCATTTTGGCTACAAAAATAGCTTTTTCTACCCAGCATCAAAAGGTTTACAAGTGAAGTCAGCCAGCCAGAATACATCTACAGCCTTTTGTAGCAAGGTGCTAATCTGCCCTGCCTGCACTTCACATCAGCAGAAGAAAGAGTACCAGTGCCAAGAACTATCTGGCCCCACTAGCAGAAGTTTACAACAATTGTAGAGAAATTGATTTGATAAAAGCACATCTCATGACTCTGAAGCAGTGAGGTTTTAGCCATGATGTAACTTGGAAGGATTTCTGGACACAGAGGACTAGACTGTCATATATTTATATTATGCTAATGCCAGTAGTCGTCTTGGAAAACCTTGGGGGCATTAGGGCCTTCTGTTTTAGAGAACTTGTGAAGGAGCCACTGAGCTGAAATGTCAGCAGGTAAGAAACTTAGCTAGATGAAGAACGTAGCATGCTGTTTCCTGGGGAAGCACAGCCCTATCTGAACAGCAGAAGAGCCTGGAAGAAGGCCGGCTCACAGCCAGCATCACCTCTACCTCGTTCTTTACTACCCAGGGCCTACGCCCTTGTTGAACCTGCTGCCAGCCATAAGAGCTGGAGCAGAGTCTCTCAGACACGCTGGGTAAGCTGTGGAAGGCCTCCAGCTGCCCCCAGGGGTGCAGGCCTTGCCCCAAGGCGGCCGTGTTTGTGCACCTCAGGGAGCAGAAAGCTACATGGGCACCTGCTTTACTTGGGGAGCCGAACACTGCCCCATCCCTCAGGGGTAGCCAAAGCCCCTTTGTACTTCTGTAATCTACCAGTTACAGGAGGGTTTTAGATGCTACTGCTGTGCTGTTACAGGCAATTGTGAAGCGTTCAAAGGAACAGAGACAACATGAATAAAACCCAACTACTTAGCAAGACGCTTCTAAAATTTGTCTAAAGGTCAGAATATCCACATCACCATATCAAGCCATCCTAAGTTATAGTTTCTATTTCAGTAAGACTGTATAATTCTATATTTTTATATTAGAAGTGTCTTTAATACAGCTCAGAAACAATGAGGCTTAAGCAATTAGGCATACAGAGGCATTTAGAGAAGCAAACTGCACCAAAAATCTAAATATAAATCACAAAGTTTTCCAACAGACTTTTCTCATTCCATTTTATTTGAAAAAAAATCATTGAAAGCACAATTAAAATATGACCAACAGGCTTCAGAAGGCAGAATGATTTAATTAGTACACTGGCTCCTGCAAGACCAGAATAACAAGAGCTAAAAATGAAGAAGAACAAAACTATAAAAAGACTCTGCTTTCCCATTTTGTCTAACACAAAACTTTCTAAACCACTCACATTTAGAAGTCTACCTTATATGGAGATTGAAAGTTTTCTTCTTCCTCCCAGCTTGTGCACAGTTGTGGCATATATTGGAACAGCGAGACATAAGATTCATCATATTTATCATATTTGTCCAGATTTGCAATCGTATTAGCAAAGCAATGAGGAAAGTATTTGCGTCCCCCTTTGCAACACTGTGTAATTCAGACCCCATATGAAACATTCATATAGAAACTCAACACTCCTTTGTTCTCAATGAAATAAAATTGCTTTTGATCAATTTTCCATATTGGCTATTTATCTTTTTGTTTGGAGCACCACTCTTTTTTTGGCCAAGCAGCTCTACTGATAGATGTACAAATCAGACCAGCTTGGATAGGTATAGATGTCTTACGTTATGAAAAAAAAAAAAATACAGTCCTTAGAGACACTGACAAAACTAAAGTTGTTATTGCCTCTTATCTAAAGAGCTCTATCAGGAAGCAATTGCATCATTAGGTTTGTCATTTCAGTTCATCTACTTACAATTATCGTAATTTTGAGTGTGAAGTAAGAGATTTAGAAGTAATTTACATCAACAAATAATTTAAGTCCATGGCAATTAATGAATGATAAAGTTCACTGAAGCTAAAAGCACGAACTGTACTCCACCTAACTCCAGCATTACAATGAAACAGCAGATATGACCGCACTACCACACAGAAATAATCCTAGAACAGACTCAGACAAGCAAAGAAAAAAGAAGCACAGTATCACAAGTAGGCATGTGCTCATATCTGCAGCATCAGTCAGAAAAGAGCAAGAGAAACAAAACACAAAGTAGTGCTTCAAAAGCAAAGTGACAACGTGAATGGCTTTCATGTAGAATAGAACAATTTAAGGTACATTATATTTTATTCCTGTCTCAGTCTTGCACTGGTCCTGACCTGTACTGGTCAGGAAAGGGAATGAACAAGAAGCAGCATGCGGGCATGCATGAGGACAGCAAAAGAATTTATCAGTGGTAAATTTATCAGTGAGATTTCATGGGTATCTCCATGAACAGAAGAGCATTTAAAGAAAAACATGAGATGTGCGAATTATGCCCTTTTATACCCTTTCTGACCTCCTCAGTGATGCATTGATTTCAACAGGCAGAAGGACCAGTTGTATCTCTCCATCACTTAACATTCAGTTGGGACCATCCTTCAGTTGGCATTACTGTTCAGCCAGAATTACCCACAGAGAAGGGAAAAGCAGCAAGTAAATACAGTTCACGATTTCTGTCATGTAACCATAAATCTTATGCTTTGCTCCATTTCATAACTCATGCTTTTAAAAGGAACACTGTCAAGCATCAGTTTGAAAGCAAAGACATCTGAAAGGTATTTCTCAGCAGCTTGAAGTAGGAGATACTTATCACAATAATTTAACCAAAAATAAAAACCGGGCTCCAAAAAAGAGTAAACTCACTAACAGCATTAAAAAAAAAAAAAAGTAGCCTTTTTGGTGTACATGAAGATTTGTTTCAGTGCTTGTTTCTTGATTTTCTTGTTCTTTGTTGAAGATCCTATCACAAAATACTGAAGTCTGGCTTTGCTGTTTAATTACAATTTCTAACTTTTGTTCTTAGACATGTAACCCATATGTTTGGTGGGAGAAATTTTAGTTCAAGTATAATGGTATCTCTACAACCTTACCACATCTGCACAACCTGCTGTTGTAACTCATCTTTTTACTATTCAACACGGATTACATTAGCCAGCTACTAATCTAATATACCAAAGCAATTCTATGTAGTCAAAGATGATGTCAAAGCCCTCCTAGAACTGCAGGTAACAGATGGAGATGTACAATAACTACTGTCAGGGAGTGGTGGTCAGAGTAAGTAAAACACTTACATCCTTCCTTTACCTGTCAAGTTATTACTGCATCAGCCTTTCCCCAAGTACCTTCTTGAGAAGGGAGGTGTTTGTTTTCTGCTTGGGTTTTTCTTTTATTCCCCTCATGCCAGCAGAAGCATCTGGCCTCACGAAAGGTTCTGATTAGCCCAGTCATGTCGGGTATGCTTTGTGCTGGTTGATGTGCATGCCGTTCTTGGTTCTCAGCATGAGTAATATGTTTTGCGTTATTTTTCTTAAACTATATACTTTTTCTCTTCTTAGAGAAGAATGCGGTGTTTTAAATAGCTTAAATTAAGAGCTTTCTTAGCGCAGCACAAGTTATACAATTAGACTTATTATATATTTTTCCTTATCTTTTCCACCTGAGGAAAAAATCAAGCAAAAGCTTCCTCTGCCAGCTAGTTTCCTCTCACTTCCCTACCTGATAACTGTTTATCAAGAAATACTGGGGTATGTCATTGCTGGTTTCTTTTAGTAACTGGAAAGCAGCAGCTGCTGGAAAGAAAATTTCTCCCCGCCATTCAGCTTTGAAGAACAATGTGGCTTTATTTACCACTGTAAGAATGTTGTACACAAGGCCTCAACATGCCAAGATATTCAGGTGCTACTTCTGATTAGGTAAGAGTAGTAATTGTCAGTCTTCTAAAAGTTAACAAGAGCTGTTAGGCAAGGTTAGAGAGAAACTGTTTTATAATATACCCCATGTGTATATATACACACACACAAAAACAAACAGGGATCATAACTATATATATGTTAAGTAAGAAAAGTGGCGGGAATTATCTGCCTTTTGTTAGGGCTACATATTATCCCGCCCCATGTGCAGTTCTATTTAGAGGTTAAGGAATCCATATGCAGCTTGCCTTGTCAGTAAGAGAAGGCAGAATCCTTAGGGTGTGCCTATGGCGGGATAGGTCTAATTTCCCATTACTGCTTTTTATCCTTCTCACAGAGAGAAGAGAAACTTCACCTTCTCCAGACACTCTGAGAATTAACCCATAAAAGCAGATTGAAGTTCTGGTGTTAGAGAAATAAGACGAACACCTGGGCCTAGCAGCTAGCCTTTTCAGTAACAGCTGGAACATGAAATCATCTGGCATAGGGCCTTAAGTGTGCGAAGTGCCACCATGACAAGGGAGCCTTGCTTGCCCCCCCCCCACACACACACTTTTTTTTGGGCCATCTGTCTGTAACTCTAGAAGTACTGAAAGTGCTGAATAGTTACCTAACATGATCCTGCAAGGGAAAGGGATCCGTGCATGTCAACCATCTTCAGTGTCTTCAGACAAATTCTACCAAAAAAAATTGAGATTCTTACAATACAGAAGGAAGTTTCCCCAACACAGTATTTAATTATTGCTTTATTATTATCTGCTTGCTACAATTCAGTATGGGAATACCACCCAAAGCTGAGTGCTTTCCTCTCAGAGGACTGCAGGAGAAGAAATCAAGAGGCCTTTATCTGTTTTGCATATTCCCCAGGGGCTTCAGGCCTTGGGGAATTTAGCACTAGACAATTTTAGACCAGAATTGTCTTAAAGAAAGACTATCTTTCTTTAGGAAAGAAACCTCCATACTGATCTGTGACCTAGTAATACCCTGTGTGTGCTCTCATGCCTCCAGAAAAGCCTGTTCCCATACCTCCACCATAGCAGCACCCTCTAACACAAACACACTGTATAGGCACAAAGAACTGACATTGCTGACTTTTCTGATGTTGTCTGCTGAAAGCTGTCACAGCTGTGTCAGCTGAGACAGATATCAAGAGCACAAGTTCCAGGGTGGTCACCATCACTGAGCCTTTGCCTGAAGTTCTCTGAACAAAGCTTAAACTACTAATGCTAAACCCAGCAGGCCTAGGCCGCCATTTCACAACATCCACCCACTGGGCATCACGGCTGTAGAGCAGGCCAGCCTCCTGGACAGCAAACCTAAGCCAACCAATTACAGTGGCAAACAGCAGTCAAATACTTTGAAACAAAATGTTTGGTATCAGTTGGTTATCAGATGACTAATATTGGGCCTGTAGGCCCATTTTATCCTCTGCAAGGCATCCCTCGCTGACACCTAACGTACCAAGGAAAGGACTGAAATACAGGCCTCCATGGCACTTTGAGGAGACTAAGCCCAAGACTCATACCCTACAGTAAGAGGACCAGACAGCGATTCCTCCTCTCCAAAATGCAGCAGAATTACCAGCTAGGGGGGCCAGTCTACAGGTGACATGACCTGAAGCTGTAGAGGAGGTATTCCAGCCCCCAGCCTTGAGTCTGCACAGCCCTTTTCACGAAGCACAGCTCATTGCTGACCCAACATTCACACCGCTCTCACCAAGTGGATCTGGATGTTCACAAACACCAAGGCATCACACATGCTAGGGCACTGAGCTGTGCCTTCATCAGCTTGCAGTCACCATGCAGAGATCACTCACCCAGGGAGGACTGAACCCCTGTGTAGAAAACTGGACAAGGAGCTTCTCTGACTGTTGCTCACACTAACTGTTCTGCAGTAGCAACTAATTTTTATTTCAATTTCTTTATATATAGGCTATCTTGATAGAAAGTTAAAAAAAAAAAAAAAAAGAGGCAGAAGACTGTTCAAATTTTAGAGGTGTGTTTGATACCTGTGCTTTTAATTGAAGTGTCAGGATTGTGCAGGGCTCAGTTAATGAACCAAGCTAAAAAAATATCTGAAGATACTCTGTACAACTGTCCAAGTCTAATTCTTAGAATTTTCTATCTCACGTTAAAAGGCCTAAAACTTGTTAAACCTTGACAGCTTCCTTATAGGAATTCTTTTCTCATTACTGATAAAGAACTCCTAAAAGCACTTAAAAGTTGCTTTTCTGCCTCAGTCCAAGTTAGACTGGAAACCTGCCAAAAGTTACACTTGTCCTTGGTCTTGTCACAGTCTTGGCCACATGAGGCAACCCCAACAAGCCATTCACAGCAAAAAATTCATAATTACCTCCCCGTTGTGAAGACAGCAGTTTGTTTAACAAAAGGAAGGTGACGTGGCTAATAGCTGATATTGCCAAAACCATAATGGGTACGTGCATGTTACAGAACACACAGCAGCCAATCAAGCAGCTCATCCTGTTCTAGCACATTAATAAATATTCATTAAGCTGTGTCACTTGTGTTCCCTTTTAGTAATTTAAAAAGCTGCTACCACGAGAGATGCCACTTATTTCTTCCCACTACTGTAAACAACATGGCTCTGTCTCAGGTTTCTTTAGAGATTTCTGAATTCTGGAAACCAGCCAGCTATTAGTCACAAATGAATGAATTAACACTGAGATAAGTGTAAAGAAGGGGGAAATAATATAAAAATATATTTTTTTGAAGTTCCAACATGAACTAAAATAAGCTAAATAAGAGCATGAAAAGTGTTGTCTATAAATAAGTGTTGTCTATAAATAGACAACTGATGAAATTTTACACAAATTGGAATTGCAATTCTGTCCCTCCAGGAAGTATTGATAAGCTTCTTTTACTTTCTAAATAAAAATAGTAATAAAAAAATACAGCAAGCAGCAATGTCAAAAGAAATAGCATCACATGCTGATGAGCATACTAAGTCAGTTTAGGGCCCCTTATCTGAAGGAAGGAAAATAGCTGGAAGGGAATTTTTCATAATTTGTATTCAAATAATTCATATTTGTATAACTCCTCTAGATGTGGCCAGCTGAACAGTTCCCTTCAAGTCGTTACTTGAAGGACATTAATTTCCTCTAGCAGGAAGATAAGCTCTACTTCTAACACAGCTCTTCCAGCCTGTCTCATCTAGTCAGTGTTATTGCAGGTGGTGGCACAGAGGAGAGGTGAATTCCCAACATCTTTAAGCACCCAGCCTGCTGACTGGGTGCTCTTCTGCATGATCTGATGACCAACAACATAAAACCAACTTGGTCCCTCATCATATGGCAAAGCATGGTTAGTGCTTGGCATAAAGCCTTCCCCCTGTCTCATCCATAGCTGCCAGTATAAAGAATGAAAGGGGAAAAAAAAGAAAAGGGCAGTTAAATCTGCAAATTACCCTTCAAATCTAGCCATTAGCTAATTAAGTACTGCTCACAGAAGTTCAGTAACTTTTACATGTTTGTTTACTCTTCAAAACTGTATGTGTATGATGCCTAGGTGTTTTGGAATATTGGCTACCTACCGAGCCCTTCATTCAGCATCGCTAAAAAAAGAAAAATCCAATAATTCTTAAAAAAAAAATAAAAAAAATCACACTTATTCCAGTTAGAAGAGACAACATGCAACAATACAGCATCCTCAGCATTAGCAAGGCATACTCCAAACGGAAGGATGCAACCTTGAGGTTTGGCGAGGAGCCAGAAATCACATTGATTTACCAATAGAGGTCATGAAGGGATTTTTCAGAAATGATCCTTTTCTTCACAGAGGCTATACAACTGGAAAGCATGCAAGCTTATAACTGGCCAATTGCAAAACAATACCTTCCACCACCACAGTTTTCCAGGAACAATTTAAAGAGAGGTGTCTAAATCTCTTTAAAGAGATGTGTAAAACACTGGGTTTTGCTTTGGCAACAGTTGTTGCCACCAGACAACCCTCATCCAAGAAATTACAACTCCAGAACTTTTTGCATAATCAATTGTTCCTGTATTGCTCACAGGGAGGGGGAGCAGAACACAGAACTGGCTGTATCTGCCTTGTAAAATCCAGAGCACTCGTTATGAATCTGTCTGGCCATTGCTGGAATTTGCATCAACAAATAGGTTAGACATTGCTATTTCCAAGATGCAAGGTAATACACATGGATTTTTTTCTAATGCTTTACTCACACAAAGTCATGTAAGTCACCTTGCCATTCTTTTCTACCCTCCTCTCCTGTCTGTGTGCATAAGTTCTGCAGTTTTGAGGGAACGGGATTAAACTTTACTGCAGTGTCACTGGAGATCGCTTTTCTTGTTGGAGATGTCTGAAGAGAGCAAGTTTTCCACACAGATCTGGCACTGTGATACCACAGATCTGGAAACTGATGTATTTGACCAAAAGCTTACCAGGAACAAAATGTAGCAAGGACCATGCTGCCTCTAGTGTCAACTGGAATAAGTTTTAATGAGTAAGAGGAGTAGATCTGCTGAGTAAGAGTATGTCAGTATTAGTTGGCAACTTCTCAGAAAGACTGTTTAAAATAGTGTTCCAGGAATATTACCAAATAACTTCAGCATATTGGGTGAGTCATTGTGTTGGTGACGTAGAGTAATTAGTTAAAAGGATGAAAATCAAGAAAACCGGAGAGTTCCACGTGGTAATGCTGCTGAAAAACTCAACCATCTGACACTGGATAAATGAACAAAACATTAGATGGTAACATACCCTTACAGTAAGTTAGTATTTCATAGTGCTGGCTCAACAATGGAAAAAAGAGAACATGACTGCTGCACAGCAGACGTTTCAGTTATTAATTATTTGGTTTTTTTTTGTTATTATAAGTTATTTGGTGCACTAGTTCCAAAATTATGGTTTATCAGCAGCAGATCAGAAAATAATCCAAGACCCAGGACGAGCTCAGCATAGACCCAATGTTAGCAACAGAAATAAACTAGCCTTTATGAAGCAGGTTTTTGTTTAGTCTCGAAAACCAGCTATTTCAAAATCAAATAAAATAGACATTGCTCAGGACACCGGTAGTGGCTGAGGCTCTTAATGTGCTTAGTTTTAGCTGCATGTTTTTCCCAGGGCTCACTCAGGCTGCTGGGAACACCTGATTTCATCCCCACTTGCTGATGGAGATGAGCGCTGTGATCACAACATCAGTATCAGAAAAGTTTCTCCTGTAAAGCACAAACTGTCCAGGCCATCTCACAAAGCACAATTATGAATTACCAAAAGGTTCATTAAGAAAGAGTTAATGAAGTTAACCAATGAGTTAAACCAATGTTTAACTAAGGCCGAGTGCAAGCTAGGAATGACACCTGTCAGTTTTGTGTTTTTCAGGAGTCATACCACAGGCAATGACTAGCTGCCAGTCCTTCCCGTGCCTCATTCAAAACCCAGAGTAGACACCTCAAATTTCTAAAGGCACGTTTAGGTTATTCCACAGTGTATCTTCACATTCAGACAAAAACCTGGTTGAAATGACCATTTAATCAGCACCCTCAACTGCTGTATGGAAAAAAACGACTGATAAGTTCATTTGCACAAAGCTAAGCAGCAATCTGCTGCTTTAGTCAGACTTCTGGAGAGCAGGACAGGAGGGAAAAAGGAAAGAAAGAAGAAAGGTGGGTTTTGGAGCCAGGTCTCCTATATACCACACAGGGTTTGTAGCCAGGGCAGCTGATGTGTTCAGCTTCATGAGAAGCGTTCAACTTTTTATTTTTGACAAGAGTGAAAGCTTGCAGCTAAAAGCCACATGAATTTTGCTTTGGGTTTGTTTATGGAAACGGACTGGAATAAGACAAGAAACCAACCTTACAATGGTTGTTTTTAAGAAATTTGTTTGCAGGTCTATAGATGAATACGGGAAGGAAGGACAAGAAAGCTGAAGTTCATCAGCTACATCTTTAAATTACATATCTCCAAGTGATATTTGCCGTAAGTAAAGTGTTCCGTTATTTATCATATGGATCTGCTGAATGGCTCTAGCTCCCTTCTTGTGTCATCAAGTCTTTCAATGAAAATAACGGGAAATCAAAGGCATAAGTGGAAAACGAGAGCACAATTACTACATAGGTTTATCAAATTTATTTAGAAAACGATCCAACAGCAAATGAGATGTGTAATTGAGGAGAAGATCAGCCTCGTGTTTAAGTGCGGAAGTTTAAAGAATCAGACAGGCACAAATAAGAATCCTCTCCAGACACTCAGATGAGATAAAGAGATTGCCCTTGTTATTTCCTCATCATGCATAACACAACACTGCTGATCTCTCTTTTATCAGATACAGGCCACAACCCTACTCAGAAATCAACTGACTGCAATGAATTCACCACGACAATGAACCTAGCATTCCCAGGCAATCCTACACGGACTAGGAAACTCGGAACAGAAAAGCTAATAACAAGAGTGAAATGGGCAACACCTACTTACTGCTATAATTGGTATCAGACACTGGTACTGTGCAAATAGAAGATAGAAGCAAATAGCACTGCTTCTGGCACCTGGGAGAAAGGGGTGTTTTTTTTTTCCTTTTTGTTTAAATAAATTGTTCTGTTTATTCATTCTTCTGTTTTTCAGTAGAACCACAGATGTCCCTAGTCGATGAGGCATACTTCCTCTGGTATACTTGGAAAGAGCACAACACATTCAGGGAACCTACCTGTACCACAAACATTTATTCAGTGGCGCCTTCAGAAGACCACTCGTGATCTCTGTCAGGTTTTCTGTTGGGGTAAGGCAAAAAATTCTCAAAGTCTCAGCTGCAGGAGAAAGAGCACTTGCTACCTGGTGAGATTAGTGAACCTTGTTCATACAGATAACTTTCTTTTATCAAGGAAAGGAACCAGAAGGTAACAAGGGAAGGTGACAGCTGGCAAACAGAAGGGCGGCTTCTACAACACGATTTAAAGCAATACAGAAGTAGCGATGTAAAAATTACACACCCCTCTCCACCAACATTGCTACCTCAGGAGAATCTCTGCAGTGGGAACTTTTGCTTGCTTCCCCCAGTGCATGGGGCTGCACTGCACAGCTGCATCATGCAGCTCCCGGAGCCGAGCAGAGCCACGTGCAACACCTCAGCAAAGGCCAGCCTGCTGAGACAACCCTCCTCCTCCCCCTGCCCAGGATTACCGTCAAGAGGAGTAAGTGGTGGGTGCTTTTATCTTCTTTCCTTTCCTACTGTGTCCAAGCCACAATGTGTGCCCTGTTAGTACACCAAGCCCATGGTAAAACTGAAATAACACAAGGAAATTTTTTGATCAATCAATTTGGGGTTACATTTTAAGCCATGTTTTCTTTCTAGCTTCTGGAAAGAAAGTGTGAAAATGTATCTTTGAAAGTACTTTAGAAAAGGAGGACATGAACAATCCTGTCTCTCAAGAAGAGAGAAATTCAAAAAGGCAGAGTTTAGAGATGGAGAGGTTTTAATCCAGCTTCACCCAGGGTGTGGTGTTGATGGTCACTAGCCGTCTAAAATCCTTCTGGTCTCCTGGTAGATTAAGTAAGCTTCATTTTTATTTTATAAAAGAAATTAACAGCAGTTTGTGAGATGAGTTTTGCAAAAAAATCACGCATAAAAGATAGGATGGGAACATCAAGCCTGATCTCCAACATAAAATTAAAGCCAGCAATTAGTTCCACATTAGCCTCGTAGTGACCAGCAATGCTGTACCAACTTCAGACCACATTCAGATCAGTCTGGATATAAAACACAAAATAGCCACGCATTCACACACGATACATACAAACACAACTTTCAGCAGCTTACCAACACTGCTTTTCTGTCTTGGACAGAAGTACAAAATATCTTAGAACAGACTGTTCAGATTTGCTTGCAGATTTATAACCGGAACATTAATTCTCTGTGACACTTATTGTTGCCCTGTTTTGCTTTTTCAGATACTATCTCCTATGACATAGTAGCAATATATCAAAAAACATAATTATGTCAAACTTCAGCTAATAAAGCAAGTGCCAAATTGCTTCAAGGAAGGCTAGCAAGAAGAGTAATTTGTTAAGCCCAGGTTGGTTTCTTTGATGTAAAAGGCATACATAATATTATTTTGTATACATTTGCAGTATCAAAAACATTCCTACACCAATCTTCTACAACTGTTATCAAGAAATTACTTCACATGGAAGTAGGGAAGCATGCTGTCTGACATTTATTCTCTTCAAGATGAGACATTACAATAATGAAAAATGATCACTAAAAATGATGATTATTGTATTTTCTTTATCTATTGACTTTTTTGACCCTTTAATTTGTAAAAGACTTTTAAAACTCATCTGCAGCCTAATTTTAATCTAAGAAAGAACCTGTAATATAACTTCCTCCCCTCTCCCTGTTAATGACTACAAAATGCATTATACAAGAAAAAACAAAGTAAAAAAACTCTCATGCTTCATGTTTGCATGGAACACCTAACATCACTTGTGCGAATTTAGAGGCAGTGCAGTTTTCATATAAACATGACTTGGGTAGAGAAAATAAGTCATTTCTTGTGATGCCCAAATCTGAAAATAATCAAGTCTGGAGAACAGAGCTGCAAGTATAAGTAACAGGTATATTGATGGCTTTTTCTTACTTGGAGGACTAAATGCACTCCTCACCAAGGCAGAGGTCTGCATAGCAATACTATGCACAGTAGATGCAGATGTAACAGATCATACAACAAAATAATACCTCAGTTTTTTTTTTGATGTATTTAATGTTGTCAGTAACAAAACAAAAGCCATTCTTTATTCGTTCTAAAGCATATGTTGTACTTTACATGTTGGACATCATCACACGTGCCATAATGTGATTAAAATGCTACAGCAATTAGAGTCACTCCCAGGCTCCACATTGGATTTCAAAACTGAATTATATGAAAGCTACAGGAGTGCCACACAGTAATAATGAAAAGGCACACATTTATTTCTGAGATGGTCATGTACCTGCCCAAGGAAACAGCTTCAGTAACATAACATATCTCACAGATAAGCAGCCAGTGCAGCTCACTAAGTGCCAGAAGAGCAAAGGAGAAGCTTGTTGGAGCAGGTGTGGGCTCAGATCTACTAGTATTGCTCTCTGTCGAGCATCCCAGGGTAGAGGGCACACAGACAGCAGAAGGTGGTGTATGCAAACCTTTGCTAGAGATTCTTTTCCCAGACACAGCACAAAGATGGGTTTGAAGCAGTGAGAACAAAAAAAATGTATGCACGTATCTCTGTGTAACACTGAGAAATGTTCCTAGTCAAACTGTAAGCATCAGCTCCACATGCCCTGCTGTGTGTACTAGCTTTAATGAATTACTGAGCAGTGAGTACATTCTGTCCTCCTTCCTGGTAGCAGTCCAAATCTATACCCCTGCTCCCCAGGCATATTTCTCACCAGTTATGGGAAGCATTATAATCAAGTCCTTATCAAAAGATAATGGAAAATACAAAGAAGAAATAGAACTGATAAGAGACACAACACAAGTGTATTCTGGCCTGATATATTTTAGTCTGAAAATAAACCTATGGGTTGTCCTTATATTTGCCAAGCAGAAGCAAGCTGGCCTTGCTCATTATCAAATCAGACACATGTTCTTACCTATTCTCCAGGATGCTCACAAGTTGTAAGTTATATAGCAAAAATCCTGAAATAAGACTCTTGGCCCTGCAGACAAGCCTAACAAACTGCTGGGTCTGACAGCAAGAGTGCTGTCCCTTCTCAACAGCCCAACACGTGTGCAGAGCAAGGTCACTACTACCTGCAAACAACTCCTGAGAAATACCACTTCTAGGCACTGTACTACACAGAACATCATCATAGTATTCATTCAGGCTTGGCTACTCTAAATTGTGTCTCTAACAGGCTGAGCAGAGGTCACAATCTTTACTTTAAAATACAGCTACCATTGGCAGCAAGCAAAGCGACATTAGCTGGGATGCCAGAAACCCAACTTCTGTTCATTCCTCTCCCTGAAGGGGTTCAGGCCAACATTGCAGGAAGCTTCTGATAACATGTGAGCAATTATTCAATTCATTAAACTTGAACACTTAAAACAATGTTTCACTATACTGGAATCCCACTTAATTTACCTGCAAGTTGTAAATCCAACCATCTGTACTGCAGGAACTTGCTACAGGAGTGCTTTAGCCTCAGTTGCTCAGGTGCAAAAAATCCTGTTAGTGGATTAAATAGGTAAAATCAGCACAGCTGTTACTTCCTAAGTCACTCAGCTGTGTATTTTATGTAAGTACCCTCTATAAAATAAACTCATCACTTTAAAATTTCCAGAACACTTCCCTTCCTCTGAATACACCCCCTTCCTCCACTCAAAACCTCCAGAAACTTCATCATCTCTATATAATTGCAGTTAGATGCTCAAATACTAGTTACCACATCACCTGTTTCCACGTAGGGCAGCCCCAAATCAATAGAGATTCATGACTGTAATCATCAGCAGCTGCTAAATGAGCTGTTAAGCTGTATCTACAGTAAGGCAGGAACAACTAGCTGTTCCATGTGAGGCCGTCCTGACTCACATCACTCAGATAGCTAATTTTAGACGTGAATATCTCCCTCAAAAAACATTGCATGTTTTTCCTGTTATTTCTTCTCCATAGTGTTTTCTGATACATACTCTTGTCTAGTTTGAAGCACTGCATGTTATTGCGTGTACGTATTCTTGGTGTGCAAAAAAGGCATTCTGTTAAATTTGAATTTGCAAAACTCCTCGGCATCACACCATAATTAAAAAACTAGAGAAACCTGAAACAGCCATTCCATTGAGGAATCATTAACAAGATTAACAAAAGAACTTTTTGCTGGTATCCTGTATCCCTGGGAGAACAGCTATCTGCTACTTTTTGAAAGAACCGAAGTTACTATCTCTAGGTCACTATTGCAATGATTTGTAATCGCTATCAGCAAAAGTAGAAAAGCATTCAAGCCTGCCAATTAATTCAGCATGAATTTCCAGTAAAGATTGACCATTGCCTAATGAACCCTGGCTGAATTCCTTCCAAGTTCAGAAGAAATACAGAGGGAGAGATTAAAATATGAAAATCTGAGCCTGCCCTTGTTTTCTTAATAGAGGTGCATTACAGGGTAGGTCCCATGGTTACTCTTTGGAGAAGGTGTCAAGTAGCAATGGCTTGTATGCTGCATTTCAGGAGGCCTGAGCCAAACTTCTCCAAAAGCCAGGTGTCAGAAGTGAGATCCTTGTCTGTGTTTATGCACATAGTTATATGGCCTGCGTGTGATTAGCGCCCATGAACTTTGATTTACAAGCCTGAATCACAACTGTGCAAGGTTTTAGTTAGCTATCCGGTCACTCTGCCCTTTCTTAAATTCCAGCCATTTATTTGCATGCTTTTTACACAAAGCTGGAAGTTTAGGACTGGGAGGCAAAGTGAAAAATAAAATCCTCCCTGAGCTAATAACAGATAACCAGCCTTGCAAGGTATCACAAGAAGTCATTTCACCAGGAGAAGCCATAGTTGAAAGACTGAATTTAGCATTTGAATAACCATTGCAGACAAAGCTAGGTGTTAGTAACGACAGGTAATGAAGAGATTTTAAAGATCTATTGTGATTTTCTTAAGTGTGACTGTTACAATATGTCCTGCCAAAATGTAGTAAAGTTTTGTCAAAAAAAAAAAAAAAAAAAGTGCATTAACTTTCAGTAACTGTGGCACATCCTTAATATTAGTTTAGAGAAAGAGGATGGAACAAAAAGTGCATCTGACGCCTATGCAAATATTTTCTTTCCAAATCCTATTAGTCCTTAAAAAACACTTAGTCAACCGAATTTTGGCATCCAGCTCGGAAACAGCTGAACTACAACAGAACATAAGATAAGACCATTTTTCGTAAATTTCTTGGTTCAGTACATTCAGTTTGTACTGTAACTTTTTCAGATTTATTGCGGTTTCAAGTCAATGTATTATACACAGAGGAACTCTCCTGCATACAGTGTGGGTTGTCCAAGACATACAAGATGGGCAAGAAGAATTTTGTATATCTTTTCCTTCTGTATTTTACATATCAACTATTAATCCAATCTTCAACAGTATTTGGTGTAATTCACAAACACTGCACCTAGTCATAAAGTTTCCGTTTCCCTACCAAAAAGAAGGAAAAATATTGCTGTTATGAGAAAAAGGAACATGCTTTGCAAGAGTCTAGTAATTCCTATGACCCTCATTTTACAATGTTCATTTCAGTATTATGTAGCAAATCCTGGCTGTAAATATAGGTATTTTAAAACTAACTGCTTCGTTCCTAAAGGAACTGCTTGCCAAATTTAACACGCCAAAACTTGTCTCTAGTTTCCTATTCCCTTCCAAACATACACATACTCAAAAACATGACATCATGGGATCCTGCAAGCCATGCATTACCCAATATATGTTTCCTGACCTTCTCAGTAGCTCTTTTTTATTCCACATTTATCTATTACTATTTCTCTATTACCATTCTTCTGTTTTGTAATTGTGCTCTGGAATTTAATTATCTCCCATTTTTACTTTTTGCCTATTAGGGGCAATTTATTCCTTAAATGGACAGTGTACATCCAGCTACCCACCCTATTATTTTGAGATTTCCTTTCCTGCTGCAGGAATGATAATGAAACAACTGCTGAGGACCAACACCCCTACCCCTCACATACACACACAATACAGACACCTTTTAGTTTGTCTTTATAGTCTGCAAGTCTTGCCAGATCAGAAGGGGCTCAGGTGGTGGCAGCTGAGCTGCCCTCCTTAAAGCAGGACAAGGCAGAAACTGCTGCAGCCATCCAGAGGAAGAAGTCCCTGTACTTCAGATAGACCTCACTGACTCCTGTGCAACTCTGTTTTTACAAAAGTACTTCAGCAGCTGTATGGTTTTGTCATGGGTTTGCTAGGAAAGCTTGTCAAAAATAAACATTCATGCTAAAGGAAGTTCCTGCAAACCCTGACTGTGCCTTTCTATGAAAGACCTTCAGCCTTCTTCCTATGAATTGAGGATTAAATATTTTGGTCAATAATGTAAAATACTGTTTTATGCATATAAGACTTCTCAGAAAAGTTTACCTGGAAATATGTCTAGTGTTTACGCTGTGATTAGTAAAGTGAAGCCAGGAAACCACAAAGAGGAAAAAAATATTGTATTATATGGGTTAAACAAGTTCTCTGACTCATTCTCTTAATAGTAAAAGAGTAAGCATATTTCCGTCTCCATTAATAATACAGCTGCAATTAGAGCTTATAGCACGGTTGTGATAAGATGCTTTCTCCAGAATAAGTTTATTACAGTCATCAAAAATATCTGTGAACATTTAGTGGCTCAATACCTTTACGATAACAACCGTTCATTAGGGATCAATCCACAAGCATTAAGGTAACATTCCCGGTAAGGGAATATTGGCAAACAAGAGTAATCTCCCTGGAGATTTTTTAGCCAGAGACCCACCCCAGCAGCACCTACAGGCACCCCTCTGCTAGCATGGGGGACTGCTGCTGTGCGCCCTGGTTTTGACTTCTCCGGCAGGAATAATAGCACTTCTTACTGCCCAGAACATGCATTCTTATTCTTTTGTGTTGTTCATTTTTTAGAAGTTTTTAAACGGCTGAAGTCAGAATATTTATAGCAGTACAAATTCTCTTCAGAGAGAGGAAAGGGCAGTGATACTAATGTCAGAGACTCTAGCAGGATCTCGGCATGGACGGCCAGCAGTGCTTGACAGGTTCTCCAGGGGAGCGATTAGGAGACAACATGAACACTTGGAGATGGTTTTTGGTGCACACAGGCAGGCAATGAGAAACAACAGGCTAACCGGCTCTTTTGGAAAAGGCAGACACTAATAAAGCACAAATGTAGAGATGAGGAAATCAAAAGGTACAGTCACAGGAACACAGGCAGAAAATCATGCTGGCAGGGTGTCAAGCTTGGCTTTTCCCTGTCAGTTGTCCACTATGCCAGGAACAAGGCCGCCTCACACCTGCAGCACATCCCCTGTACAAAATGGCTGCCCAGCCCAGGCACCATCTTCTTGTCATACACAACCATTCTGTCCAACACACTGCGTTTTCACTCCTGATAACTGCACTGCTCTCCACAGTGCAGCCATTGCCTCACAACCTCTCTGAAATCCTATTAGGAATGCTGATTTTTCCTTTGCTGGTGACCTCCCTCTGGCTGGGCCTTCCTCCGCTGAGCAGAGGCCCCTCAGGCAGGAGCCATGGCCGCTAGCAACTGCTCTGGGGCCTTACCCTCACCAGCCGTCACCATTCCACAAGGAAGGCGAGCTAGAAGAGCCAGGATGGACACGGGGTCATTTGCCACAGGTGGCCATCCTGCTCAGTGTTCTGCTGCTGAGGGGAAGGCAGGCAGGAGGCACAGAGGGAGCCGTGTGGGCATGCTTGGGAGATTGTTCCCAGAAATGACAACACCCATCCAATTTCTCCATCCAATTGCTCAATATGCTTTTATTTGTCATTTGATATACAAACAATTCTCACCCTAGACAATGCTAGACTACAAATATTTATTCTCATTAAGATAGAAGAAGAATTTCCATCTCGTCCAACCTTGACCTTCTGGGTGTGGAAGATCACCTCCAGCCTGCAAACCATTAGGCCTTATCTGCTTGTTTGTTGTTGTTTTTATTTATTTATTTGGTGGTGGGTGTTCCTTTCCTTTCCTTTCCTTTCCTTTCCTTTCCTTTCCTTTCCTTGCCTTGCCTTGCCTTGCCTTGCCTTGCCTTGCCTTGCCTTGCCTTGCCTTGCCTTGCCTTGCCTTGCCTTGCCTTGCCTTCTTGGCTTATTGTTATTTTTTGAATGAAGCCTTAGAAAATTTCATTCTCCGCTTACCCACTTGATGCTTCTGAATTTCTGAGCTCTCGCACAGAAATCATTTTTTTTTTCCTCAAAACAGCCATCAACATGCACTTCATATCCAAGAAGCCTTTTGTGTTTTTTGGGTTGGAAGACCTCTCTGACTTTGAACCTAGAGCTACGTGAAGAAAACAAGCCAGGGCTGCCCAGTCCTCCTTCATTTGCTTCGTTTGTTTACAGATAAATGGTACAGATGTTAAGTGGAATCATCTAATTTATATGTTGAACATGATGATTTAAAGTGTATTAACTTACCATCTTAAATAGCTGTCCAGAAAATAAACTTGGCTAAACATTGCACTTTAGTTTTCAAAATTCTTCCAGTATTACAGAGCTGTTATTCAAACAATATCCCTCTGAAAAGGGACTTTTATAAAGCCTCTTCCATCTAGTCATGAGAAAGAAAGAAGAGTCAGGATGCAGAATGCCTCCTAAAGCTAATACTCTATTATGACAGAAGTGAAGACACACATTCCGGTGACAGAACAACAGACATAATTTTTTGAGAGCTGGGAGCCCCAAAGGTCCTTCTAGGCCTGTTAAGAAACCTTAGCACAAATACCTCTAATTCCATGTAGCAATGCTACACAATAGAATAGGTTTGGTCATTAGCTATTTTACACAGGTAAAAGAAAATAGCACACGACAGTAATAATGCATTTTTGAATTTTCTGCAACCTCATGGCATTTATAGTAGACCAACCAAACCTCTAATGTTTATGCTACCAAAGCCAAGCGAAAATATATAAGCAGTAGAAACCAAATGATACAGATCTGTTTACATTCTCATAGGCACTGAAACTGTTCCTTGTGGGAATGTCTGCAAATAATAGTTGAGATCATTTACCTTCTGAGGCACATCCTTCATTTTCAAAATTAGTAAACAAAAATCTTAGAGCATTGAGGATATTCTTTTGAATTTTATACACACACTGCCAAGCTAGCATTTCTGCAAAATACTGAGAAGCAAATCTAGTTCCAAGTTGTTCTTTTAACAACCTCATTCCAGTAAAACAAAATAAAATAAAATAAAAATATCCAGATATGGAATTATTGATCTTATCCTGTTACAGAAATTCTCACATTACTGGAGAGAGCTTGTAGAGACATGAGTACATTCATTGCAAGGTTAGAGAAGGAATATCTTGCAGGTCATTTCTAGAATATATTTGGAGTAAAAGAACGCATTTAAGCACTCTTGTTTTTATTCCTTGCTTCTTTTCCAGCAAGCTTGCAAGAAGAATCTTTCCTAGAAAAGCTGCTCTGTCTGGCAGCTATTCTTTCTCATCTTTTTTAGCTCTGGTTGTTTCTTTGGGTATTGCACTGCAAGAGAGAGGATAATTTAATACAAGGAGACTTCAAAACTTTTAAATATTACTTTGCAGGGTTCATTTTCTGCTTTTTCTAGATGAGATTGGATTATTTTAAGATCTTCCTGTACTGCAAATGCTTATCTTTCCTTTAATTTTGGAATTCATATAAGCAAAATAATGCTAACACATTCTCCAAAGTACCTTCTAAAAATGTAAGATGTTCTTGTTGCTTGGAGCTTGTGCCTCTCCTGTCCCTTTCCAGGGACCTAAGGAACATGAGAACATGAGAACTAGAGATTTCATTGAAGAAATGGATTGTTTATATTTTTAACAAACAACCCCCAGACAAACTTGCTGTGCCCTGTTTATAATAATACATACCAGTACAAAAACTAAGCCGCTGTCACTGAAACTTGACCACAGCAGGCATCACTGCAACCGCAAACCTAAGATGTGTTGTTAAAGGACCTGTTTTTTGAAACCTATGCTCAATCCTGACTGCAGTATTCAGCCCATCAAGATACCCCATATAATACCAAAACCAATTGTAACTTACTGGACCCTGTTATTCTAGCTTTTGGACCATGCAATGTTCAGCAATGATATTTACAGTACCTAGCACTAATCCCAGCACCATCTATCAGCTAAAATTCAGCATAAATTGTCATGAACACCTGCTGCCATTGCAGTTTTGCTAGTCCACAATGATCTATTTAAAAAGTACTATCAGCCATCCTTTACTGAGCCCTCTCCTTAACTCTGGCTTAGTGCTGACAGCCTTTCTTTGAATGTCTTTATAGGCTGCACTGCACTGAGATTCCTGCCACAACATTTCTCTTGTGTTGCTTTATTCCTGGGAGCTGGCCTGTTATCTTTAAAAAGGTCAATAAATAGGACAAATAAGTTGGAAAGGACCGGCATAGTTTTGTTTAAAGATTAAAACCTGTTCATCTCATAAGCACTCTGAACTGTGACAAGTATTTTCTTTTTTTTTAAACATTAAAATAATAAAACAAAAACATAGTCCCAAGGAAAACAATGGGAAAATGCATGATTCCAGATGCAGATTAAATACTGTGCTGTAGGACCATATCCAGTCCTTCAGCCCAACCCTGTTTTTCCTCATTCTTATGACACACAGTTCTAAAAACTTGCTCCATTCTTATTTCACCAGTTGTCACTCAAAACAGGAAGTCATCTGAAGCATAAAATATGTATTGTGTGGGTAAAAATTATTACTGTCTGTACTGTCTTCGCCTTCTGTAAAGGCCTGGATTTTGACTTGAATGAAACCAAAAGTGATTTGTGTTTCCTTCAGTTGTCCAAAGCATAGGTAAGTCATTTGAACTGTGCAAATATTAAATATTAAACAGCTATAGAAAGGAATCTACTTTTTTTTTTTTTTTTTTTTTTTTTTTTCCTGGGGTTAGTTTGATTTTCAGGGCCACACCAAAGATTATTTTTTTCCTCCTAAACATCTGTCCATCAGAGGATCCTTTTGTAGATGCCACCATCTCCAGGCACAGGATTCCCTCCAGGAAAAAGGAGTAATCTGCTTGGTCCTTAGGGTATAATGCCATGAAGCCAAGCCTGTACAACTTAGAAAGAAACACTGACAAGAGCTTTCCCTTGCACCTTCTTCCTATTGTTTCTCTCCTATTGCATGCAGCAACTGGGCAAGTGAGGCAAGCGAGCACTAGATCTGCTCTGGAAAAGCCAGCTGAATTGCACCCAGAAGCTGCATGCGGTCTAGCTCCAGCATGTAGAGGAACAGGAGCAAGACCACTCCCTGCAGAAGCAAAGCACCATTTGCTCTGTTTAGCTGTGAAGTGAAACCACATCCCTTCACATCCCTTTTAAGGATGCACAAATGGTAAGGCTGAGGAACAGCGGGCCTCTGCCAGCAGGAACATCTGGAGGTTGCAGAGACTGAAATGGCTAATGTTTAAAGTCGCTGATGGTTGTTCCTTCCCATAACATAAACATTGTTCTGTAAACATATTTTTTCTCTTTTGCAAGAATTAATTGTCTAGTAATAGCCCTATTTTTCTTCTTCCTTCCTTCCTTATTAGTACAGTAGTTTTAATATAGAAAAGACAAAGATGAATACAAATTTCCCACCGCCGTGGTAAGTTTGTCCTTGTGCTTTGATAAACAAGAATAAGTGACTCCTCTGTTTCTCCTTGAGGTAATACCTTGTCTCTGCTTCCAGCAGGGATAAGTCCATGGTTGACAGTTCTTCCTGGAATACGACTTGCTGAGCTCAACATTTTTAATTCCTTGTATGATGAAAAGTCTTCACATCCATGAAACAAGGATATAAATTACCAGGCACAAAATAAATCTCTCTAATGGAGAAACTCTACACCTCAGAGAGAAGAAAATAAAAAAGTCATGCACATTTTATAACTGAGATAAGAACTGTTTTCTGATGAAGAGGATCGGCCACTTGTTTGTTTCTGCTCTGTCATTCCAGCTATATATTCATGCTTGCAAAAGCAGTAAAATAGCTAAAGCAGTATCTTGATTAATGATCTACCAGACTAATACAAAATCATCCAAACATATGACAAAACAGTGGGCTTACTGAGAATTTTAAAAGGAATGTTTGATAACAACTGAGATACTGAAGGAAGTTATTATCAGAGAAGTATTATGGGTGGAGGAATCACCTGCTGCTCTGGAGAGAGTGGCCAAGGGAAGAAGCTTATTTCTTCTCTGGTGGCTACTGAGAAGATTTTGACTTTTCCTATCTCTGTCTTTCACTCTCCACTGTCGTTTTGATTCTTCCCCTCAAATTACACTGATCATTCCATCTGATGTTTGTTATTGGCTATGAAAACCCACTAAAAAATTTTTGTGCATATGAACCTATCTCAGCATCCTTTGTGCCACAAAGGCAATTGTACCACAATTTTATAAACAAATTAAGGGTGAAACTTAGTACATACCATTAGATATATTTTTTTTCAGGCTAAGGGAAAGAAAAGCCCAGTGTTAACTGGAAAGAATACAAGAAAAGCATTGAAGATCCCTCCTGATCTGAAAATCAGTAATCAGGAACCTATGGAAGTTTTTTCTTGCAGAAGTAAAAGTGCACCTGTTGTGTTTTCTCTAAAGGTGCTGCTTGCTACTAGGTTTTTTGTACAGTAATGGACCTGCCTGGAAGACTTTCTAACCTGTGAAATATTTCAAACACATTTAAAGATACCACCTGGAATGGTAGACTTGAAAAACCAACACAGTCAGCTGATGGAGCTGGCAGAACAGATACGATCACTGGCTACACAACCCAGTGTGGGAGAGCCCAGAGAGCTGGGATGCCCACACCAGCCAGGAGGCCCTGCACATCCAGCAGAGGAAAAGGCAAAGAGCTCAGCTTTCTACCAGCCACCTGGCAGGGCACCAAGGAGCTTGGCAAAGTGGGACAACAGCCTGGAAGGAGCACAGATTATAGTCTCCACACTGCTACATATTCCAGCAAAATGTTTTCATTTGGAAGAATCAGCATTTTCTAAGAGCAGAGCAGTCAGCTGGAACATCTCCAAACAACTCCAACACTCGTTTTAGTCACTGATGTTTTTACTCCCATCTTCCAGCTAATTAGCTACTGCTAGGACAACGTGTGGAGATTCTCTACCTCTGCAGGTAGCATCTGTTTGTGAAGCATGCACAAACTACAAATAATGGGATCTTTGTCAACATCCAGTTTGCAATCATCTCTTGTCACTCACTAAACACAGCCTCCTCATCCAGCCTTTAGATATGGTTTTGTTTCTTGCAAGAGATTAACATGTTTTTCTCACCTCGTATTTTTAACAGATAAACATTTTACAAGTGACAGAACACTAAATAATTTTGCTTATCTGATTTTTATCTATACCTCATCTTCTAAACACACTTTGAGCTGGGGTAAAATTAGAAGGAGATGTTCTAAGTCCTTGGCACTTCCAATCTCTACTTTGGCTCAGATGACAGCTCTAACTGGAAGTGATTATTTATACAGCCGTGTAAATGTTCATGGTGCTATTTAACCAAATAAAGTATGTGCCATGAGTCTAGCAACATATTGTGCACATACAAGGTCCTTCATTGTAGGCTTTTCAGGGGTAAATACTTAAAATTTGAATTGTGCAGTGGTCTGCATGACTAAATCTCATAAGGACACATGAAATGCCCCAGTGGGTCAGAGTAATGCCTTATCTGCCCAGCAGTGTGTCTCTAGAAGAAGATAGGTAAGAAAGCATAAGGAACCAGTTTCCTGCTCCCTTCCCAGACTGCCCTTCATCATGTGCAGTTGTTGTATTAGGCTAGAGGATCTTTCTCTATTGTCCATCAACAGCAGCATCCCAGCCTGCTCCCCAACAAGAACACTAAGTGCCACAAGGCTCCGTGCATCAGGAAACAAAATAACAAGACTTACCTTCTCTGTATTTTCTGAGTGGCTCTGAACGTGATATTCCAAAAAAGAATGACAATTAAGCATTAAACACGAACTGCTTAGTAATGTTTTTGTCTTATACCTTGAGTACTTGGAACACTTGTCAATGGCATCCACTTTTAATTACTGACTAAAATCTAGTTAGAAACCATGGATAAAGAAGCCCAGAGCAAAAAAAATGCTTAGGAATTTCACTAAGTGTGTGCCTAGAGAATGGATGTCTTGTGAGGCCATGCGAGGTGGTATTGCAGTAACTAAGAAACCAGCAGAAAAGCAGCTCAGTTTGTCTAGGTGCTGATGGAAAACCAACGATGTAAGGACTGAGCAAAGGGTGACTAGGGCAAAGTAAACAACACAAATGGATCTCTCTCCAGACAGACTCTCACCTGAAAATGGTTTCAGAAATGAATGGTTGGAGTTCTCTCTATGTATAGCTATCCTAAATTCCCAAAAGAACAAAATGTTATCACACTCAGAGAATAATCCAGTCCAAACCACAGTCTGTCATAGATGTGGATAATTCCACGAGTCTGCTTTCAAAAAAGTTTATTCAAAAAAGGTATGTGTTTCAAAGAGGCAACTGGATTTAGCAGACAATGTATTACGATGACGGCTGAAAATACTCAAAGGTTACATGCATCTTAAGGAAGAAAAGTCTCTGGGCACGTGAATTCTTGCTAATGGCAAAGAAACGTGAGACAAAACACAGAAGATAAATGCTTCTCCCCTGCAATGTAATAGCCTAGTCATACAAAAGACAATGCAGCTGCACAATTAAGTACCCAGCTGCTTATGACTTAAAAATCATGCAGTACTAACTAAAGTGATCTAAGAACCTCCTCACATCCTCTTCACAGCAAGTGTTGTTGCTCTCTCATACAAAGTTTCTTCTGTGGTATTCTGACTAGCTGTAAAACTTCAACACGTGTCTCAAACAGCAGTCCAGAGTTATGATTCTTGCTATTAAGTAAAAGTTAGTCACTATCCTCTATGGAGGTAAATTACATATAACCCAAGAGACATGATATGTAAAAAAAGAAACACGTATTTGCAAGCATCTTGTAAATCTGCGATCTGTTAACAGTGTTATCAGACTGGGTTCTTACAGTTCTATCTCTTAAATAGGATAAAACATCTTTCTATAAATAAGTGATGCTGAAATATGAACAGAAACGATACCAACCACAAAATGGGAGAGCTGATGATTAAAACTTAGGTAGTCCAAAACATACAAAATAGAAAAAGAGGGAGATTAAATCCAGGAACAACAGTAGAACTTGAGCAAACTGCAAAAACTCCTTCTGCTGATGGGCCATAGATCATTACCGAGAGGCTGGGTAGCTGCAAGCTGATCTCTGGCCTTCTGAGGCTGTCATCAGATTCTACCCGGTACTGCGGGGTATTGTGAATGCAAAGGGAAATAGAGGCCTGATTCTAGATTTCTTGACTTTTATTTTTTTTTTTTTTCCCAAAATAGTCCTGTGTCCACAAGGGAAGAAAAAAACCATGAGGATTTAGTTAAATAAAAAGCTGGTGATTTCCCAGTTACCAGTGTAACTGGAAATAAAGTCTATCAGATGACTGAGCAGGCTGGTAATGCTGTTATAAATGTAAATGCACACTGAAAAAGAAAATAAATGTCTTAGTTGTTTTGGGTCATAACAAAATGAACTTTTATTTCAGTTCCACGTTTTTTAGTTTGAATAAATACAAATAAAATAACATGGGACAGACAAAAGATTTAGTAAGAACATGTTCGAAGTAGTAACCCTGTATGATGCATACAGAGCAGTTGTGCCCAAGGAAAGCAGAAAGCATAGCGAAGAAGAAACAGGCTACCAACGTGTATTTATTCTCCTCTTGTATCAAAAGGCTTTTCTTGTGTTGATTCTGCACCCAGTCCCAAATATCTGTCCTTTCTCTGTGAATTATATAAGAAACATACAATTATGATACATTCTGTATATAAAGGGAAAGCAGGAAAACTAGATACCAATTCTACTTGCATTTATTTATTTATTTATTTATTCTAATTTGAACTATTTAAAAAAAAATAAATCAAGTGTTAATATTTCAGGCCATAGTAACAGCAGCTAGATAAAGTCATAGCAGTGACTGAAACCATGTTCTTACTTCTTAGCGGCAGCAACACAAGCATGGTACTGAGAAATTGGTGCCAAACCATGTTATCATCAGTAATTAATGTCAATAATGAAAATGCTGTTACATATTAAAAAACAAGTTAGTATTCAGTTTACACAGTATTTTCTGCATGTCTACACTCATGTTTTCATGCTTTGGAACACATTTAAAATGAGCTGCGAGGTTACAGCCCTGATTACAAACACATTTTAACTTACCCCTGAGAGCTGACACTTAAAATATTTTAGCCACTGAGGACCACACAGCCAAGGCAGCGGGCGAGAGTGACTCTCCCTTGTCTGCTCAGGAAAGTGCATTGCAAATCTGATTCACTGGTTTACCCAGCACGTTATACACCAAGGAGACTGCGGGTGTTCATCCTGGTTCCATCTGCTATTCCCCCCCCCAATCTCTGAATTTCTCTTTCAGATTCAAGAGTAAATGGAAATATACATCATTTGCTTTGCACATACCAGGACAACATGCTTATTTACATTGTTCACATTCTCCCTTCAGCTGACGTTAATCATAAAGTGCAAAAATCCACAAACCACTAACTCCACCAGTGCTTTGCTGATGTCCAGCAAAGATACACCAAAGACAGACATGATCTGACATTTGATCTGGAGGTGATGATCTGACATTTATTCAGAAATAAATCCCTTTGTGAGCTGCAACACGCAGTTTACCACTGCAGGGAGTTCTGTGCTGTCAGAGCAGCTTTCACACAACCAGGAAAGAAGCAGTCAACAGCAATGCTGAGGGGCCTCTCTGCTGCTGAGTCCCAGTGTTGGTCCAATTTTAGACTCCTTACAGAAGTTTGGGCTTTCAAACTCAGGCATCGTCTGTGAGTTTTTGCTGCCTAATCTTCTTTCCCATCACAGTAAACACAGTGCCTTGAATAAACTTGGGGCTACTTCTGAATGAGTTATGGAAAGAATGAGAAAACAACGGCTGTTGGAGCTGAGCATCTTCGAACGGACCCTTCACTGAACGATGCTGGAAGAGCCACCCCAGGCGGGCCTACATGCTGAAAGCCCTGGGAGGTTTTAGTGGCCGTTTTTTCGTTTGTAACTTAATCTGCTTGTATAATTGTTCTCCTAATTTGGCTTCTGGGCTTGTATGATTTTTTAAAATGGAATCTCTTCTTAGAACTAACAGCTCCTCTTCCCCTGCAGCGCCCTGTATTTCTCAGAGGCTTCTCCACAGATGTGCAATCGATCTCGCATAACCGCTGACTGTATACGATTGCAACACTGGCATTTGTCTGAAATAAAGAAAATGCGGTACAGCATGCAAGGGAGAAATAATTCTATAATAATTCCATAATAAATGGAGGAAAATATCCTCTTATCTTGTACCCAAAGGAAGCAGGTGATAATTAATATAATGGACATTAGTTTTTAGTGGATATTAGCATAGGACATGGCAGGGAGTAATTTCCTCAAGATGTTTTTTGTTCTTCTTTCTTTTTCTTCTTGTAATTTATCTGATATGTTAAAGTATATTCCAAAGAGTTGATCTGAACCATCTTATCCCCTAAGTTCCAGTCTTGCCAGGAATGCTGTCTCGGTCTTCAAATAACAGCTTTGGTTGGAAAGCTACCAAAAAAAAAAAAATCCAACCTTACACAACCTTATTTAAAGCAGAGGTTAAGTAAACAACTCAATTTAAAAATAAATAAATAAATAAATAAAATCCACAGCAGCTAAACACTAGTTTATGTTAGCTGTAAAATAATTTTACCATCCCAGAACTTGAACTGTAGCTCATGTCACACCTCAGAGCAACGCGTATCACAAAAAGCAGGGAAGGATATTTTGAAGTATGGGTTTAGAAACTGCCACACAGTTGGTTCAAGTTTTAAAAGAATTTGGTATTAAGAAAAGTTTAATGAAAGGATCAGATAAAATCACAGTTAGTAGCACAGAATATGCACCTGTTATGTGATAGCTGCTCATCTCTGAGAAGAAGCTACCAGCCTAGAAAGAAACACTGGTTGGCAGGGTTGCACCTGAGGAAAGCAAAGGAAGCATCCACAGGTGGTCTCAAGAAACATTTGGCCACTCCCGTGCAAGTGGGAAAATCTAATCTGAACCTTAATGAATGTTTCTTGCTCTCATTTGTCAATGATGCTTCAGTCAATCCTTGGAGAGCATCTCTTTGCAACCAGAAAAATACGGAGTACTTCCAAGTAGAGGTCTCATCACAGCTCCTGGCTGAAGGCTGCGATGTGGAGCGGAACTGAATGCTGTCAATGTAAAACAGAGCTTGCCAAAACACAGTCAGTAAGGTACACGCAGCTACGTGCATCCCCTTCAGACTTTTAAGTGCAGCCTGTCAAAATGTGCAGTCCTGCACTACCATTTGCTAGTGTGGTAAGCAACACCGAAAATGTTTGTTAAATGTAAAATTACCTGTCACCCTCGTCTGCTGTGGCAGTAACTGCCATGAGCAAGTCTACAGCTGGAACAACAGCAGAATGTAGCTCCACTGATTTCTGGGGAGTTTTACTTGTTCAGCATGCACTGAAATGCAAGAAGTGACTTTATCGCTCTGTTCACATAGTTTAGAAGTTTGGACCATTATTTTCCGCATGGAATGACTCACCTGAAGCTGCTTGGATCCGCTGTCCTCCGAAGAGCTGTCTGAATGCTGAACAAATAACTGATGAGAAAAATGTTCCAGGAGAACAATGTACCTGCCTACAACTAATGCACTTCAGTTGGGGGACTGAGACATTATTTTGCAATGCTTAGCATTAAGTGCGTGACTAATCTGTCGAGCTGCTCGCCTGTGCCTCTTTCCCAGGCTAGCTCTGAGACAGTCGGCACCCCCAGTCCAGCCCTGGCCACAGCCTGACCTCTTCAGTGCACTCCTTAACCAGCCAGGAGGGAATTTCCAGGGCTTGATGAACCCAGACAAATATCACCCGGCCATTCATTTATTTGTCTCTCCCTTCACACTGGGAGTAGATCAGGATGCCACTGGATATATACAGCGGGATTACTAATATTGCACAGGAAACCTTCCTTCCAGCCTTCCCTAGCTTCAGAGAGCTTACTTTTACAAATTGTAACTACTTTTGTCAATACGGTGAATAGGAACTGTATGAGGTGGCAGCCCTTACTCAGATGCAGTGCCCTCTGACTTGAGTAAGTGGATGTGCTCAGGCAGTGCTTTCTGTCTCCTTGATTATCATATGGCTTTTACTGCATCTGAAACACATTCATTACCTTGCTTCTTTTCACAGAAAAGCCTATACTCTAACACTGAATATTATAAAGAAAATCCTATCCTTAAATAAAGAAAATTATATTTTTTTAACTGATTTTTTTTTTTTTCATTAAGAATAGCTAATTAAATCCACTGGTATTTCCACCCAGCATTGAAATCAAGTCCTTCCAAGAAATGGTTTTGTTTAAACTTTCCCCCACCATGAAATAGGAAAGACTGACTTTTTGTCTCCAGTTCAGCTGAAATGCTTATTTTCAAAAATGCGAACATTTGAGCTGGTACAAATTTTTCTCCTCTCTAGCCTTCAGCTTGCCCAGCACTGTGCTCCTGACTGTGTTCACCTGTAGGAGTTGTAAAAGGGGTTGGTTTTATAAGCCACAGAGACTTTCTAGCTCAGTATTTGACTAATGCCATTTAGGCACTTACAGAGACTTTCATTAACTTGGATTAAATAGTCATCAAAAGGACTGCATGTTGACTGTGTTACACACAAATAATATGATAAAGACAGTGCCCACATCCAGATTTAACAAACATATTTGATTGTTTAATGTCCCTCTGCACACTCAGTTTAACAAATATGGCCTTTGGGGAGGAAACAAAATAGACTGCAGTTTGAACAAAACACAGAGCCGGTGTTTTGCATCACCTCGTTAACCTCAAACAAGATTAATCACATCTCTTCAGCTGAGATGGTGTAACCCAGATAGTGTCTGCAAAGAAAATTTCATTGTTAAAAACACGCTGCTTCTTGCTAAGCTGTTTGTTTTCTGTGTTGACAAAAGATGTAAGGAATATGAGAATGTCCTGTCCTGTACAAGCTAGGCTATTTCAGCGGGCCTCCGTTCAGCTTCTGCTTCCAGCAGGATGAAGCAGGTCTCCCACCAGCAGGACAGCACCCCAGCTGCTGTCCTGACCGCCGTTATTGATGGTTTCACCTCGAAAACCAACATTTCCCAACGCTGAAAGAAGCAGATTAGAGGTGGAATCAGAATCAACTGTTCAATGCCTAAATTCAGATTCTTTTTACAGTGTCGCTATAAATAAAGATGTATACATCCACATCACAGCAGTGCTGCAAGTAGGCATACGGTCCCAGTTTATCCACTTTTGGATAAATTTCAGCTCTAATTTTGGAAGCTTTGTCAGCTGCCATGGCTGTTTATGTAAAACAAGGTGGCTAACAGCTGGGAATGATGAGCGCTCACAGAGCTCTGTCTAGTTTATACATTACTCACGGGATTTTGTTGTTAAGTGAAATGAGATCCATGTGTAATAAGATATATTTTATTTTTTATTTAGCAAAGACTGAACATTTAATTGCTCCAGTCTTACTGTTAAGCCACAGTAGTGCTAAATTTAGATCCAGAAATGGCTCCTTATTATTTGCAGGTTTGCAGTTTTACGACTGGAAAATAGTGCTGGGTGAAGAAGAGCTGCCCAGGGAGAGCAGTGCCCGAGTCAGCGAGTGCAACAAGCTGACCTCAACAAGCTTCAAGCAATTTATAGAAAACGGCAACAAAAACAACTAGAGAACCAACACGCCCTCATGCTACATACCACTGAAGCTGTAAATGGGACTAGAAAGTCAGAACGCAAACAAGGGAATTAGAAGCAGACTAACGCTTCGAGTAAACAACTCCTCTTACACAAAAATATCAAAAGAGTGACAATTGTAATATCCATCTAGAAAATGGTGCCCTACCGTGCCATGCATGATTGATTGCCATTATTGACAAAAGCACAGTGTAGAAGTATGCGCTTCCACCTGTATCCAGGCACCTCTGGGGTCTTCACACAGACACACGTGTCCATCCTGGGTGCTTCAGGGAAGGCACAGCCTCGAGGCAAGGAGCGAGCAGAGGCCCAGCCAATGCTGTCCCAAAAGGCACAGAGGCGTTCCTCGCCCAGCTCCTGTGCTGATGTTTCCATCTCACACACACAGCACCAGGACTGCGAGGACTGTGTAGCTGCAAATTCAGAAGGAACACCGAAAACACGTGAAAATGCACCTGTACCATTTGCAATACATATTGCAGAACAAAAAGACGTATCTCAATGACTTATTCTTTCTTTTGAATAGGATTATTTTGTCAGTCACACACAATAAGGGTTCAGTAAGCCGTTCCTCAGATAACTTTAACGTATAGTTTGAGCTGCCATGAGACAGCATATTCTTTCCTCCTGGCTTTACAAAACATGGCTATAAAGTCTTTGGAGTATTTTTCATATGTTCTTTCCTTTCATCCAAATCTCCACTATAAAAAGAAGAAGCAAGGACTGGCATTTTAGAAAACGCAGCCCCAGATTTAAATGTTATGCAGTGAGAACAGCAACTCACTGGGGACTGGGAAGAGATCAGCACAGCTATTGCAACACAGAACGTAACCAAGACGGAAAAAACCTCATCTTCCATCCTGGATGTTTATTGCATACATTACAGTCCTCTGTACATCTTGCTATCACTGATGCTAGTGGGAAACGCAGAAGCAGAAAAAGAACAGAACATTCTCAAGAAAGCCTCTGCAAAGAGAAGTGTGATCTCCGGGGTGAGAGCTTGTGTCATTAAACGCCTGACATCAGATTTCGTTGCTGGCAATAGCTGAATTCTCACCGACTTCAGCTGCAAAGTTTGGGCTATAGGCTCCCCACCCCCACCACTTTCCAGTGGCCTTGCTGCTTTACAGTGAGATTACGGTTACAGAAATAGATGAAGTCCTCAGAAGAGCGTAAAGGAAAAGATTTGGCACCATGTCTGTATTTGGCCTCCGCAACCCAGAACCTCGCTGTTTTGACAGAGCTGAGGTCAGTGCACACAGAGTCGGAGGAAAAAAAAAAAAACAACACAGAAGAAAACCAGAAGTTGGTGCAATCAGACAATATTTAGGTTTGGGATGTCCAAAACGGGCTGTTTGATGAGCCCAAGCTCTGGGTAGCAGCACATGTCCAGCAGCCCCCTGGGGCCTGGCTGGGTCACTCGGCAGGGTGCTGGATACGGTGCTCGATGCCAGGTGCCTCTTCTTTCTTAAAAAAATGCAAATGGAAAAGATCTTCTGTCATGCAAATGTTTAACCTTCTGGCAAAGGTTAGCCTCAGAACCACGCTGCACAGCACAGTGAAGCAAGAAACCGTTCTGTGAAGTTTCCATTTTACTGGAGGAACAGTCGTATCCATGCTTCAAGAGCATAATAAAAATGTAAACTAAAAATACATACTAATGCAGCCAATAAAATCAAATTTTAATCTAAATATTTCTTAAACCAAATGTTATAGTGAGCACATTTTATAAGGCCATCTGAACTCACGATTCCATATTCTGCTTTTTTTCTTAATCTGAAACACTTTTTCCACTGTCCAAAGAGATCACAGTTGTTATAACTGCCTCCCTTAACAGGCACTTCCATTTTTATGGGCCTCTGAAAGAAGCAATTAAAAAGTTTAGAACAAAAGCTATCACACAGCCATGATTCACGCTGCTGTTTTCCAGGCACTGACTCTGCCAGCTGGGCAGAGGCACGGGAATGCCTCCCTCTACCTTGCCAGCCTCCCCCAGAGGCATCAAGAAAGCTTTTCCTCAGCTTTCAAACATCAGCAGGTCCTCAGGTGTGCTGTGGGGAAGCCCCCAAAGTGTAAATGCTTAACCAAACCCTACTGCAGCTTACTAGACTCTGAAGTTGTCTCATCCCCCTGTTCAGAGCACATCCCTCCTTACATCTCTCCTATAGTCACCAGTGCCGTACCCTTGCAATTAATGCCTAATTTTCCCACTACTCTGGATGCTCCCTCTAATCAATTTTGCATATCTCTCATACCTGTCAAGCCTGTAACAATTACCCATTCCTCATACACACTGTTCTCTCTCTCCCTCGGAGCTTCCCTGCAGTTTCTCTTTCAGCCCCATTCCCCATCAGCTGTGGATCCTGCTTCCCAGCAGAGCTCGGTGCGTTCCTCCAGTGGACAAGCACAAAACCCCAAAGCTCACCAGGTTACAACTGGTAGCACACCCCTAAATCCAGGGCAGATACTCAAAGAAAAGGAACTCAGGGAGAATCGGGGTAAAAGAAACTTGAGAAACACGTGCAGATGGTTCCCAGTCCTCACACGTTGCGGGCCGCTCGGCAGCCCCTGGGCAGCTCCTGCCCAAACCGTCTGCAGCTGCACAGGCCGAAAATGCGTGGAAGCGAGCCAGCACGGCTCCATCCCTCACGCAGGCACAGCCTGCCCTCGGCTCCTCTTGGCAAGTTCCCGTCAGCAAAGGTGCCGGTGCCCTTACGCCACCAACATTTCCATATCCCCTCCCTGCTGGGGTAACAGCCTGGTAATAAATTCCTGTAACAAGTCGCTGTGTGAGGTACAAGGCTAACGGGCTGCAAAAGCCGTTTGGCAACACGCAGAGCTCTGAACTTGGCTTTCCTATCAGAGCCCCTGCCGGTCTTGCAAAGGACTTACAACCAGTGCCGGAAAGCATCCCTGTGCCGGTGTGTTCACAAAGCAAACAGAATTCACTGGCCCTGGGTATATCTCACCCAAGGCACAACACCTCTGCATGGCTTTGTGCACGGTCTGCGAGCAGGGGATGCCAGGCTGGGGGCTGGTTGCCTGGGAGGGGCAGGGGATGCTGCTGCGGCCCCGATGCTGCAGGGCTGTGCTGAAGGCAGGGTTTTGGGAAAAGAGGAGCCTGCGGCTGCTCTTGTGGGGCTGCAGGATGGGGAGGGGCTGCAGAGAGGGGCTGCAGGACGGGATGGGGATGCTGGACGCTGCACGGGGCGGCAGAGCTGAATTAGGGGCGGCAGGCTGTGGGGAATGGAAAGCGGCACCCCAAACATGTGGCCATCCTGCGGTGTGGTGAGGGCGGACCCTTGTCTCTTGCTTGCCTGTTTGCTTGTTTAGTCTGCTGGATATGCACTGTGTTTCCTTGAAAAATTCCCGTAAAAAACAAAACAAAACCCACAAAACTCGCCCCCCCAATAAAAGAGAAAAAAGAAAAAAAAGAAAAATAAAACAAGAAAAAGAAAAAAAAAAAAAAAAACAGAGAAAATAAAAAAAAGAAAAAAGAAAAAAGAAAAAAGAAAGAAAAAAGGAAAAAGAAAAAAATAAAAAAGAAAATAGAAAAAAAGGAAAAAGAAAAAGAAACAAGAAAAAAAACAAGAAAAAGAAAAAGGAAAATAAGAAAAAAGAAAAAGAAAAAAGAAAATAGAAAAAAAGAAAAAGAAAAAAAGAAAAAAGGAAAAAAATAAAAAGAAGAAAAGAAAAAAGAAAAAAGAAAAGAAAAAAAAAAACAAGAAAAAAAGAAAAAGAAAAAGGAAAAATAAGAAAAAAGAAAAAAGAAAAAAAGAAAAAAGGAAAACGGGAAAAAAGGGAAAAAAAGGAAATAGGGAAAAAGGGAAGAAAAAAGGGAAAAAAGGAAAAAAGGGAAAGAAAAAAGGAACCATCCGCATCCAAATGCCGGGCGGGGCCGCGCCGCGGTGGGCGTGGCCTATGTAGGGGGCGTGCCCACCCGAGGGGCGTGGCGGGGGCTGGGGGCGCTGCTCATCCCACGCGAGGGGCGTGTCCCGGCCGGGGGGCGTGGCCTGGGGCCTGTATAAGGGGCGCGCGGCGGGCGGCGGGGCAGTGCGGGTGCGGGCAGGGCACGGGGCATGCAGAGCGCGATGCTGCTGGCGCTGCGGCCCGGAGGGCGGCACTCGGAGCGGGGCGGGCGGCGCCGCGGGGAGCTGGAGGAGGCGGAGAAGGGCCGCATGAAGCGCACCATGTGAGTGTGCCCCCGGCGGGCAGCGGTGGGGTGCGGGGAGGTTGGGGCTGTGCTGGGTGCCCCCGGTGCTAAAGGCGCCTTCTCCCTTCTCCTAGCATTAAGGACTGGAAGAAGAGGCTGAGCTACTTCCTGCAGAACTCCTCTGCTTCCAGCAACGTGAAAGCCAGTAAGGGGGGGAAGCACCATGCCTACTACAGGTAAGTTACAGCTGCTTCTGATTAAATAACTCCAGTATTGCACTAAATTAAAAACAACCAACAACCTCAAGCTTGAGGAGCAGATGCTGATGTTCTCTGTGGCTCTCCGCAGGCCTTCCCCTGAAGAAGCTCGGCTGTGGGCAGAAGCCTTTGATGAACTCCTTGCTAACAAATGTAAGTTTGTCTTCAAACTCTAGCATTTAAGACTAAAACGATGGGGAACTTCTTGTCTTTAAGAGATTGTGCCTTGCTTTGTGAACCAGTATTAAAACACTGGAATTCCCCTGCCGTGGAGTGCTCTCCTCCCAGAGGGAGCTGCAAGCTCTGTAGTTAAGCCATACCTGTTAGCTTGGCTTTGCCATAGGCTGTTCGCTGTGCTCCCTGCTTATCTAAGACAGACACATTAAAACTTGGGCAGGGTTCTGCAGCAAAGTTCAGTGCTCTCCAGGTTTTGTTGTAGCTCTATAAGGAAGAGCGCACAGCAGCAAAGCGAAAGAGACTAAGAAATATTACTGTTTGCTCTTTGAACCTTTGAGTCATCCTTTCCATTGCACGAAGTATTGCAGGGGGTTGTAGCCCTGTCATAAATACTTACTCCAGTCTGAAGGTTAATACGTGAGATCCCATCTAGAGAAAAAATTTTTATATGTGCCGGCATCATAAAAGGGAGCACAATGACTAGAAATGGCTTTCGTTTGTGTGTTTATCTAAAAATGACTAACTTGAAGCCTGCCAAGTTGTTAGGGTGTTAGTTTGCTTGCATACATAAAAGCGAACTTTTCATTGCCATCCCAGAAAGAAACAGATCAGAAACAGAGCAAAGTGTTTTGGTAGGAACAGATGTGATAAATGGGTAGATTCAAGATTCCTGAAATACTTACTTGATGTATTTTTTTTCCCCTCCTTTCCCTAGATGGTCTTGCTGCTTTCCGAGCCTTTCTGAAGTCTGAGTTCTGTGAGGAGAACATCGAGTTCTGGCTGGCCTGCGAGGACTTCAAGAAAACCAAGTCACCCCAGAAGCTCACATCAAAAGCAAAGAAGATCTACAATGACTTCATTGAGAAGGAGGCTCCCAAAGAGGTAAAGAAAACCTATTTGAACATAACTGCCTTGTTGTATGATTTTTTTGGCCCTACTTTATTTTTCTGAACTCCTTTTGGGACACAGCTGTCTGAAATGCAACATACATGTCTCAACAAATACAACTCACCTCTAATTGCCTTAGCACCAAGTTGGACTATGGCACAAAGAGCATTTCAGGGAGTTTCCATCTAAGCTGGGGAAAACCAACAGTCCCACTGAACACCTGTAATGCTTGAATTTAGCACTGAAAGATAGTAATCATCTGAATTACTTTGGGTTTTGCATTAAAGAACTTTTAAAGGAAACTAAATTAATATAACCCTGTAGTAACAGGATTTTTTGAAAACTTTTCCGAAATTCTTTTTGGTGTGTTACACTTGTTTGAATTCAGTTCTCAGAAGTAAATGTTGTTTCTTTGTGTTTCAGATAAACATAGACTTCCAAACCAAGAACACAATCGCGCAGAACATCCAAGAAGCTACGCATACTTGCTTCAGTGCAGCGCAGAAGAGGGTTTACAGCTTAATGGAGAACAACTCGTACCCCCGCTTTTTGGAATCCGAGTTCTACCAGGAACTGTGCAAGAAGACACCTATCACCGGAGCTGCCCAAGGGACATGAGCTGTGGAGCTATGAGCTTGCTCTTTGCAAGGAGAAGCCTTTTGGTCACTGAGGAAGCAAGCCACAGCTGACCTGAAAGACTGAGGTACTGAGTACTCAGTCTCCTTTTCCATGGTGCAAAAGGACAACTACTGACTTCAGTGAAAGCTGATGGTAAAGAATGACATTGTTAGAGGGCACCCGAAGCTGGCAGCAGAAGCGTGCCAGGCAGCTGCTGGCTGTGCACTTATCTGAGTGCTGCAGTGGAAAGGTGCCTCCACGCCTCAGACTGAGCTGTGCAGTGTAAAGTCCTTGTCACGGCTGTGGTGTTGATAGAGCAGGTCAGAACAGGGCTTCCTTGTAAACAGAAGTGGCTCTGTACAGCTGGGCAGTGCTGGGAACTCGAGCTGGGTATTTATTTTTCCTAAACATCAACCAGTATTGCTGTCATCAGTCACTTGATATTTTAACACCGGTTGTGTAAACTGACACCAGTTGCAGAGAAATGTGGGTCTGTGTGTGACTTGTAGGCACTGCTACCCCTGTCACTGCGCTGTGCGGAGTGAGGAAGGGATGTCCCCCTGGGAACAGGGGGAGCATCCAGGGCTGGATTGTGCCAGCAGGGCTGCACAAAGCCAGATGGAAGGCAAAACTTGGCCACAGCGAACAGGAGCTATGTAGTGTTATACCTAAAGGTGGATTATGATTGTGTTGAGTTCTGCAACAATGTCATAATTCTGTCTTGAGGACAGCAAGCTTCAGTGAAGTCTTATTGTTTTTAATAAACTATTTTGATACAAAGCTGCTTTTGTTGTTTGTTTTTGCTCACAGAGATACAAGGTCTGGCACTGGAGGGGGTGTTCTGCAGTAGCCATTCTCATGGGTGTGATCTCCAGGGTAGTTTTTAAGCTGTTACTTCTTAATCTAGCAGGCAGGTTGCTTTTAGCAAAGGAAAAATCCTCAACGGCTGGAAGTGTAACAGGAGAGATAAACTTCAGCACATCCTGTTTTAGCTACCTCCCCCTGGAAATAATCTCTAGGATAGTGCAGTTTGCATGCATGGCTAGGGATGGCAACAAATCACCCAGAAAGCAGCAGCAGCATTGCTGCTGGAGCTCCCTCAGGATGCTCTCTGTAACTGCTGCAGCAGCACAGCTGCTCAAGACCCCTGCTTCAAGCAGGACTTGATTTTCAGGCTGCAAACCTCTGCAGTGTCAGTGGAGGTAGGACTGTAATGAAACCACTTGACTGCTGCTGTGTGAGCACTCCTTAGCAGGGAGCGTTCCTGGTCATCCTTCATCCATGGATACTTTTTCTAATTGACAACATCCCAAAGCATTACCTCCAACAGTCCCACAGTTGTAAGCCATAATTTGCAAGCTTTCTGAGCTCAAGGGCTGCTCAACATCCTGGCTCCAGCTGCTTTGACCACACTCCTCAGGTCCCAGCTTTACCTGTTTGGTCCATATATACCCACAGCAGTCACTTCTACAGGGATCCACTTCATGCACCAAGAAAACTCCATACAGGATTTCCTATTTTAATTGTGCACCCACAGATTATTCTGCCTCTATATGTGGAAAGCAGCAAACACAGAGGCAACACAGCCCCATTTCCAGGGCTGAGTTTTACCTGTGAGAGCTGGCTCCTACAACCAAACTTTCTGATTAGTTATATCTACATCAAGTAAGCACACAAAAAAATACAATCTGAGCGATAATTTACAGTAACAGAAAGCTTTCCCCCAACACCTAACCAGGAGAAAAGGTTGGTGCTGACAAGTGCTTTTGTAATCCAAAAAAATTTGAAGAGCATAAAAATAGCCAGAATTATACCTACTAATGACTCAGAGCCAGGGCAGGAATAATTCCATGAAATTTCATTGGCTTCAGTAAAGCCTCATCAATCTGTGCCAATCATGGTAATTAACCATTGCTGGTGTCTGGTTTCAGGGAAAGAAACATTTCTAATTTCAGCAGGTGCCAGAACTACTTATAGCACAGCCTGAAGTCCAGAGGGGAAAATTAGGTGGGGCTGCTAGGCAAGGCATCACTGCCTGAGGGCTATTCTTGTATATTCTTAATATCTGAGTTGTTTACGTGGAACTTGAAGTCTGTGCAGGCAGCTCCTTAGCTTGCACTGAGCATGCCATCAGGGTATCAAAAGCCAAGTTGTGCCGAGGCCCCAGGAAGGTTTTCATGCAGCCTGAGAGCCCTGATTTCAAGGGTACGCCTTGCAGCACAACAGTTTGATGCATCAACAACTACAAAGAATTATTAATTTCAGTAAAATGCTCAACACATCTGTGGACACATCTATTTACTGCTTTATCAGTTTGCAGAAAGAGCCCTATTTTCCCAGCTCCCAGGGTAAGCTTCATCATAAAAAGTTCGGTACAGGCATGTCGGGAGCCCTACCACCTCTGGAAGATTGCTATGAACACTTCGTGGAGAAGCACGAACACACCAACTGCTTTAAGAGGTGCTGCTTCCATACTGGGGGCACCCTTGCAGCTATGGTTAAAACTGCTGCCCTGCTATGAGTATCCAACAGCAACAAATGAGCTGCTGATTTCCCACCGATGCTGGTGTGAAAGGTGGCTCTGGGAATGGCAGAGGGAGGTTCAGCAGAGCTGGGATCCTGCAGGCAAAGGTAAGGCCAGGGCATGGTTCTATTTTTTTTTTTTAAATATATATATCTTTAAATAAAGCTCTCATCATGTTGTCAAGTTTCTCCAGCCCCTGGCCATGTTGACAGCCTCCCAGGCAGAATAAAATAAAGAGAAGGGATGCCTCTGGGCAACATCATTCCAGGAACCATAGCTGCAAATGAGAACAGGCTGTGAGCACGTCAGTCTGCAAACAAAGCTTGCTTTTTTAGAGAAAGGACTTGCTGCAAAAAGCTGAGGATGCAGAGAACTGGACACCTCCCAGAGGGTGGTGGTAGGGGGGCACCCCAGCTCTGCTGTCACAGCCTCCAGCAGCACCACGAGTCCTGGCTGATCCCAAGAAGTCAGCGCTGGCTCACTCACCACTAACACAGCCAGTGTTGGGATAGGAGATCCTGCCTAACTGAGAAACACTGAACAAAAAGCAACTCTTAACTATCTGTGTATCACTTTCTTTTTTTAGCCTCTAGTTTCCCCATATCTTGTGCTTTTCTTACAGCTCTGGTTGCTGGAGGCAAGTGGTTCCCCTGCTTTCAGATCAAAAGATACATTTCTCACCCCTACAATTATGCAGAAAAAACTGAAATTGCAATCTGAGTCTGCGCACCCCTTGTAGATCCCCAAACCAGAACACAAACGCTTCTGCTTAAATTGTATATATATTTTTTGGAAATATTAACTACAGTGTGACAATTTGAGGAAACTAGGTCATGATTTTCAAATGCCTGCATCTGGCAACAGCCTGTTTTAAAGAATTTGCTCTGCACAGGGCTATCTGACTGAGAGCCCTCCATGCTATCAAGAAGGAAACAAGTAATCTCTTACAACAAGAAGCCAAGGCAGCTGACCCTTGGCAAGTGCACTCTGGCCCAAAGGCTGGAGAGGACCTCTGAGAACAGGGTGAGCTAAACAGCAAAGCTGACTCACCACTCCAGGCCAATGGGAAAACAATGCCACCCTGTAAACAAATTGAAATGCGCTGCTGTTGCTCCTTATATTTGTTTATTGTGGTCAAAAAATGTACCAAGACTATAAATAAAAATGCATTTCCACTTGAAATTCCAAAATCCTATTTGGAGAACAGGAGGCTGATGACGGCTTTGCAGGGCTTTATAGGCAGGCGTGCACGTTCATGGAAGGGTTCCTTGGATGGGACTTCACAACTTGGTGACTTTTATGCAGCACAAAATCATCAACCTTTAGAAGTCTGGGGATTTTCATATGTAAATATATTTCTGCAAATTTGGCTTAATATGATTTAAGTAGGGAAAAACTGTTTGGGATGTTGTCCCAGGCTCCAAACATCTTCCTTCAGGTGGCAAAGCATTACCTATGGCTTCTCCTCATCCCACCAGTCCAGCAATAGCTGGTGTCCCTCACGCATGCCAGGAACAAACTGCCAGGGAGCAGCAGGAGATGGGGATGACTGCTGGAACGACTACAACATCAACCCATGGTCCATACCACAGACAGCGCAGAAATAGGGCTGGAGAGAAACATACCTGCAATACAGATCCAAGATCCATCTAGGAGAGAGGGACAGACACAAGGCTGCACCTACAACACAGGGAGGGGTAGGGTAATCAAGGCTGAGCTTAAATTAAGCCCTCACCCCATGGCAGTAGGTGTGGGGGACCCAGGTGGGCCTGATCAGGACAATTAAGGCCATCAGTGCCCTGACACAACTGTGTAGGAGGTCTTTTCTGAGGGTTACTGTGCTAGCTATATGGTCCCATCAGCTCACCTGTCTTTAAGCACTCTGATTTTTTACAGAGTCTCTGCAGCAGGATTTGTGGTGAACATCCTCAGGAACACCCCACAGAGGTTAGCCTCATACACTTCTGTAGATGCACTAATTGACTTTATCCTCAGTGCTGTAGCTGTGAAATGACAGCTGGCCAGCAAAGAGACGCAGGCAAAATAGTCCCAACAGTTCTCCTACGCAGGAGTTTCAAACACGAGTCCTTTGTGTCTGTTGGCAACCTTTCATTAGAGTAAGCACTGAGATCAGAATTTCCAACAGCTACAAAGTACCCATGAGCAGCAATTACATGATGTTCCATTAAAATATTAAATATCCCATTCAAGATAATCTAATTGACAGAAATTAGTACTTGTGTTTCCCAGCCAATTTTCCCACTTCAGATCTAATGGAATAAGTTGTGTTTCTGCATTACAGATTTAGACAGAGAGCAGCTCTGTGGCCTCCTGGCTCGGAGCCTGACTTTGGGTTTTCAGAGGACATGGTACTAATCTAAAATTTATAGGGCTTGGAAAGTCGGCTGGCCAATATGGAAAAGGCACTTAGGAGCAGAGCGGGCTGTTTACTTAGCTGGTGTGCTCCTTCGCCTTCACAGATGTCAAAGGGAAATTGAAATAACAGCGACGTGAAAGGACACGAGCATTACAGAGGGGCAGTGAGGCACTGGGCTAGCACCCTCCTGGCTCAGCCGTTCTGTAAAGGCTGACAGCATTAACCCTTCTGCCTGGACCTGCCAGAGACGAGGGCTGCTGCTGGGGCTGAGCTCGGGAGGTGTCAGAGCAGTCCTGCAGCAGGACAGGGCTGTGGCAACTGCAGACTCATGGAGCTCCGAGGTCCTCCTGCTTCCAGCGGGCTTCGCGTTGCGTCACGGAGATTATCTGTCGTGTGTGGCTGCCCGCCCTGGCGTCCACCCAGGCTTCATGCGTCTGTTTGCAGAGCTGAGCTGTCTCCCGATTTGGCTGCGTCTGATTCCTGCTGTTTACACTGCCTGATACCCACTCCGAGGCTGGGACCAGGAGTCTGAGCATGGAGAGAAATGACAGCCAGGAAGGCCAGGGCTCCTCCAGCTGCACTCAGTGCCATCAGCGGCCTGAAGGATTGCTTTTGCACCTTGTATTCCCAGCAGGAATACAAGGGGTTGGGAGCAGGATCCTTCCATTCCCACAGGGAGAGCACAGCTCATGCTGCAGCAGTGCAGCTTGGCTCTTCCAGGTGGAAGTGCCAAGTAAAATCTGCAGCATAAATGGGTCATGGTTGAGAGCTGAGGAAAAAAACAGTTGTGACCTTAGGATTAGGTGGTGGAAGAGCTGTTTGGTTGGAAGGGTGGAGTTACGTAGTTACACGATCCAACTGGCTGCATCTTCGTACTGCTAGAGGGATAACACTTGTTTCAACAGGCTAATGGTGCCTGTATAAGCACATCAGGAGCTATTGAATATGCACAGAATTTTCCCGATAAAGCCTCTTGGCTTAATTTTTATACAGGAAAAAACAAGGCACTCTTCAGAGCCAGCTGTACGAATAAATTGGTTTATCTTTACACAGAGACCAAATTCGTTTTAATTTCAAATTCTCACAGATAGATTCTGTCCCTGGACAGCCACTTACAGATAAGGGCCAAATCTATCACTCTGGAGAACTCACTGGGCCAGGACCCAGATCTGCATTCATATGGCTCTGTCCATAAGTCAGTGAGGAAGGAATAGTGGACGTGCCTTTTGCTAGCACCAAAGCAGCAATGTATACTGTCACCCTTTCAATTTTCCTACAATTAACATTTGCTAACTATTTGTTGGGCCCAGACTCCTGATCCTGGTAGAAGCTATAGCAGCTAGAGCCCCACAGCAGTGTGTATGCTTTATTAAAGCTGAGAAGCTGGAATCCTTGGCAGCTATTTGTGACAACCATGGAAGTGAAACCTTTCCAATAACTGGAAGAATCCATGTGGCAGAGCTTTTTCAGAGCAATTTCCCAAAGGTTAAGAAGGCCTCTGCAGGTCTTGCTGTGTTAAATGTGCTCTGTGCCTCAGAGCTGCCTGCGGGGTCTGCTGGTGCAGTGAACCAAGATAAGGGATTGAGCTAAGGGAGCTCTGGAGCAGCACGATTGCCAGCAGGCAGGTTTGGAAAGCAGTGAAGAATGATACTTAGCCTAGGACAGCTCCCAGCTGAACTGAGTCTCCCTCTGCCCCAGGGATCTTCCTGGAGCTAGCAGGGGTCACCAGGTGTGGGTCTTCACACAGGGCCATGGAACAGGGCAGCAGAATTGGGATATTTAACACCTAGAAGACAAATAGATCATCTTTCCAGAGATCAGCACTTAAGCTACGTGTGCAGAGAGTCTGAAATGGCTTGAAGAGCACCAGCCCTCCTTTCTAGCCAACCTCTTTTCTCTTTTTGGCATCCCCTCTCCCTGCATCCAAGTATTTCTTCTCTGAAAAAGTATCCCTGTCTAAAATGTCACATTTGCTTAATAATGTCTTGAAGCTGTTTGGCTCTGAGGAGATGAGAGTGCACAGTTCTTATGAAGTGTGGTGTTCTGGAGCACAGACACTTGTAAACTATTTCTCTTTTTGGATGTTTCCTTACAAAACCAACAAATTACACCGACATAATAATAATAATAATAAAAATAAATAATAATAAAAAAGTGCTGTACTCTGGAATAAGCAGCCTGCATGCTGAGGGGTCATTTGTCTCTTGGCATGCAGATGTGCTTCAGCTCCCAGAGAAGGCACCTGTACCACACACAGGAGCTTTAGCAAATCTCCCCGTATGTTTTTCCCAAGGCTGCTAGTTACAGGGGAACCTACTGAAAGTGACCCTTAACTGCCTTGCCTCTTCACAGCTGTAATGCAAGGAAACTCATTTCTCAACCAGCTCCACTGGGCACCGTAGCACTCGCAGTGGTTCTCTGTCAGCAGTTTCTGTCAGCCCCCTGCGGCCTCACATCGGCCTGGCCCTGCTTCGCGTTCAGTCATGGGTGCCTCCGCGACAGGGCCCTTCTTCCCACAAGGGAGATAAGGACTTGGTTAAGAGACAGAATGATATTTTAGGAAATATCAGAGATCTGCAGCTTTGGGCAGAGCAATCAGACCACCCCAGAGCACCCAGCAGATCTCAGGTAGTGCTGCGTGGCTGGCGCAGCAAAGCAGGGAGCGTGCCTGTGACTGGACTGTAACAACAGGCTCCCAAAAGTAGCACCTAGACACCTCAGAGAGGGGTGACTCTCTGAAACACCATTTCAGCAGTCCCTGGGGGCTTTCTGGACCAAAACATGATTCCAGCCCCATGACAGGAGCATGGGGATTGGCGAGATGAGAGAGGAGAGTCCCTGGCGTGGGCTGTGGCTTGCCCACACCAGCAGGGCCTTTGTGTCGGGGTGGACACGAGGCAGGTGAAGCCAGGAAGGACATTGTGGGGCTGGCTGGGCACCAGTGAGGGGAACAAACCCTACAAACACTGCTTCAGCCCTGTGAACCACTGCTACACTGGGGTTTCATCCCCGGGTGGGGGGGCTCATTCCTGTCAGTACTGTGAACGAGTAGGATCAATGCGGACTCGGAGGGGAAGGGTTACAATATACAGACCAGCATATTTTCCACTAGGAAATAGTAAGTGACTAATGACGTTGGCAGTCATTAACAAGGAGGCGAGTCAGGAAATAGCATCCAAAGACAGCAGCAGCTCCTCTGAGTAAGCACGGGTTGGCGGAGCATCGCCCTGCTGCTGCCCTGCAGGGCGGGCTGGGCGCAGGCAGGTGCTCGTCCTGGTAGCGGGAGGATGATGGTGTCGGTGCTACCAGAAAAAACATAAAACTACAAACACCACCACTAAGAAATAAAAGGGGAGCAAAGTTCTTTTATACAGACAAAGAACAATGCCAGCTGCAGGGTTTGCACGGGGCTTTAGCACCACAAAGAACAGAGGAGCGCGGATGAATTGGCACTCAGGAAGCATGGGGGCAGCTGACAGCAGATCACCAGCAGATAGGAATCCCCCCTCGGATCAAGGGTGCTGGCAGAAGCATCAACATTTGCACGCCACAAGGAAAGAAACAATGAAGCTGCTTTGCTGCCTTACTGGCAACAAAACGTAGTTTGCACTTGTGGGAGCTAATGTGGCCAATTGCTTATTCCTGGAATAAGCCACTTGCATATAACCACAAAAGGATACACAGAATTATTTTAGTAGCAGTTTACCAAAACCAGCCACATTTAATTTTCTTCTTCTTCTTTTTTATTTTTTTTTTTTTTTTAGAATCTCAGCATGATGTCAACATGCGTATCAAAGGACCTTGAGCAACATCCCCAGCTGGATGACAGCTGTTTTGTCACATCCTTCCCAATTCCCTCGCCACATGCAGTGAGTGACACTGCACAGGATATGCTTTGGGACAGCATCAGCATTCCCACGTGAGCTTTCCAATGGTTGAACTTGCGTATTGCTACCAGCACAGATTCAGGGAATTTTGCTCAGAAGGACTAAGGATATGGTTTGCACGTTACGCTGCAGCGTGACGTACCAGCAGCAGCTGCCTTATTGGGAAGAGCTCCCTCCCCATCCCTGCTCCCTGCACGTCCCTCACTGTCCTTGCATCTGATTTAGCAACTGTGCAGCTGCTGCACAGCTGAATGAGCAAGCGGGTCTGGCAGGAAGTTTTTCTTCTTTTCCATGGGATCAGCTGGCTGGTCCACCTGACTGTCCAGTCACCCAGCCTCTGGAAGGTTATGGGAAGAGAGGAACCTTCTGGTGGGAGGACACAGCCCGGACCATTGCAGCCTCCAGCCACGTCAACCTCCCAGCCTTTATCCAGCACCTTGGGTGCACTTTGCAGGCTGTGCTGAGCAGTCTGTCCATCTGCTGGTACTGCCAGAGAACCCTAGCAGGTCATTAAAATGCAGTTTGAATCAGTCTGCAGCATCTGTGGCCCCAGTGCTGACAAATCCTTTGCAGTATCATGAGCTGTGCTGTCCATACAGCTGACATTTCCTTCCTTCTGCCAACAAAAAAACTTGTGAAAATACAGGCTTCTTTGATCTGCTCTCCCTTTGAAAAACAGAACTTCGGGGTCACCTGGTGTGACACCAAGATTTGTGAAAAGACAGAGCTGGAATGGCAGCACACCTGGGTACAGAAACACGTCCTTTCCCTCTCTGTCCCAGGTCACTGCTTAAAAACCAAGAACTTTCTGCCCTGCTTCTTGAAAACAAAACAAAACAAAACAGAAAAAACAAACCCTCTACTGAGTAAAATATATTGGCTTTCAGTGGGCTGCACCAGCTATGGCTGCAGGACCACGGCAGGGTGCAGGGTACCTTGCTGCACCAGGTTGCCTCAAGAAACAGCTATTTTGGGAAACTATTCAGATAGCTCTAAGGATACACAGAATTAGGATACACAGGCAGGGGTCCTGCCTGAATCAGCTGGGAACAGCGTTAACATCCTGACCGTGGGTGAGGGGCAGGGTCCTTGTCCTTTCCCCTCAGCCATAGGAGCCTTCAAGGGAAGGCTGTTTGAAGCCTGGGCTGTGTTTTGAAGCAGAGAGCCTTTGCTCTCCCTCTGGTGAGTACACAGCCAGACAGGCAGGAAGGTGGGGTGACCGACCTTCAGGTTCACACCCCTCATCACCGCTCTGTCATACTCTTCCCTTTGCGCTCCTCCTTGGGCACATCACCAGCCTCCTGTAAGGAATGCAATTAATCTGGAAACGGCACTGCTGATTTTCTGCCCCTCCTTCCTCGAAAACCTGACCAGACCGGTCATGTAACAGCACATTGAGATGTTCAAAGACTGCGGGAGCAACGTCCCCGTGGTGGATATCAGCAGCAAAGCTGGGAGCGCGGTGATGCCTGAATAGGGAGGGGACACCTTGGGTTGGTTCTCAGAAAAAGCTTGTTGGCTGGTTTAAGATCCAATGAATGAATTCATGTTACAGATCACCTGAACACCTACTGACGCTGCTCAGCCTTGTTGGGAGGTTCAAGGTTCAAATACAGCCTAAAAATAATTTTAGCACATTGGCAATGTGTCCTGCTATGAGTCACTGGCTTAATGCAAGTGGGTAAAAGTGTAAATGGACAAAGCGGCACAGCATCATCATTTTCCCAAAGCAGCTCAGTTGATTTCCAAATAGAGCCAGGAAAGCACCAATGCAAATTCATATCTTCCAGCAGTACATTTTTATGTATTCAGTGGCTTTCTGGTGATGAGTGCAGTTTCCAGTATAAGCAAAACCCATGCTGTTATGGAACAACGAAATACACTCTAAAACTCCTGTAGAGATTTTTATAAGGCAAATATCAGATTGAATAACACCTTGCTACAGATCCATTGCCAGAAGTCAGTTTTACTGGTGATTAAGGTAACCACCTGAATTTGCCATTTTCAACAGCATTTTGATACCACCAAGCAGTGATATTTCCCTAAACTAGATAGGATTGGACTGACGTCATCAAGCATTCAGTATATTTGAGATGAATGTTACTTCTAATTTTGCTTGTTGGTGCTTATTTCTTACTGTGTAGTTTATAAATATTCTCTCCCTGCCATGCATTACCTGTAATGGAGAAAATGATTTACTGGAAACAGGCACAACTCAGCCACAGCAGCTGAAGCTATTGTTATTACTGACTGCACGGTCTCTTCTGCGGTATCCAGAATCACAGTTTGACTAAGGCCAAACAAATTCCGATTAAAGCAAGTATTTTAACAGTTCTTGCTTGAACAGCTTGAACATTCACCTAAAATTTGCTAAAGCTTCATAGAAAATGTATTTAGAGTATATATGTGCTTCCAATTAACCCACATCTCCTAAATTGCTCTCTCCCAAACAGGCAGAGGGTACATAACTCACTGTTCTGCTAGGCTGCAGCAAGGAAGCCCCGTGATTGAGCCCTGCTGCAGTTTTAGGAACACCAGGGGACGGGGGTAAGTTGAAGCAGGAGGTCTTTCCCCTTTCCCAAGCCCTGATGCACGCAGATAATTATTTCTATTCTTGCAGTCTTCTCTGATTCCACAACTACCGTTTCTATTTACTGCCCTAGCTTGCAAAGATATTCCCTGAATTTGCCTTGCAAAACCCAGGGAATCCTTTTCACCCATATTTTCTCCTTGGCAAGAGAAAATGAAGTCAGCTGTATCAAATGTCTTTTTTTTTTTTCTCCATGTCATATTTTTGCAAATACAGAGAAACAGATATGTCCTTGGTCAATACAAGCTGATCAGAGGGATAGAAAGCAACTGTGAGATGATCTTGGAGCTCCATTTCTGGTTGGAAACAGCTCTGAAATGCAGCTTTTCTGTGCCACCAAACATTTGCCAGTTACTGATGGGCACGTCTCATTTCGCACTGCCAGCACAACTTTATTTTCATTGACCTTCTTGAGAGCAGCCACTCTCCTCCCTGGGGATCATCCAGCACATGTTTTCCAAAAAAAACTCCTTGTGCAGCCAGCACTGACGTTTCCGATTAACCTTTACAGTCTGGGTTTGTCTGAAATCCAGCAGATGCTGGACACTCGGCCAGCACCAGCCCTGGCAGGTGACACTGCAGTGGCACTGCCCAGCTCCTTTTCAGGGCTGGAACCAAGCCCTCCAAACACCTGCAACTCTGTCTTAAGTCTTAGCTTCAAAAATGGCCCTCATTACTGCTGATACAGAAAGTTAAGTGGTACAGCTCTGGGTTTAGACCCAAAATACACCACAGTGAGGTACAGGATTCCTGTGTACTCTGTAAGTGGCTACAGTGAATTTTCTTTCTGACTATGTATCCGATGTGATATGATAATACTGATATAATAGATCCAAATTATTGATCCAGATCCAGTGCAAATGGAGCTAGTGCTTTTAAGTTAAATGACTGTATTTAAAATACAGATACCTGCTAACGTTAGCATAAGATATATATGAAACACACATTTAGAATAGACAGACATTCCTCTCAAGTCCAGCCTTTCAGATAAGGCTGAAATTGAAACCAAACAATCAGCCACAGAAGCATCAACCTCGTCCTTGCTCAGTTCTCGGGCTGAGGCCTGGTCTGGATTTGGTGCATCAAAAGGCAACGAGGAGGACTGTTTTCCTGACCTGAAGTTGGTATGACATGAAAATCAAAGAAATTCAATACCAGGTGGCAGGAAAGCCACAAGAACAGGCAAAAGTAATAAGCATCAGCTTTGCAGCTGTGCAGTTTTCTGTCCTTGCCTCATGAAAACAGTGTTTGCTGAGAAGGGCTGCCTGAAAAATTAGGACTGCATCCTGCACTAGCAGTTCAGTGAGCAGCTGAGCTGAGGTCTTCCAGCCACCAGGATATTGCTTGGGTGCATGGGGACGCAAGATGAGACACCTCATTGTGTGAAGAAGCCTAGATTTAGGGGATACAAATGAGGAAATACACCCTGGCTTGAACTGGACTCTCATACAATAAATTTGGCATATTTTTGTTATAAAAAGGGAAGTTACTGATAAATCTTTCTTGCTTCTCAAACCAAAACCAGGCTGACACTCTGAAGACAATTCTGATCTAAACAGAAAACAAGGTTTTTGCAAAAAGAGGGATGGTTGGTACAAAGACTGGCATCTGCAAATGTCAGTCTAACAGAAATTTTGACTTTTCTGTTCAAAAATATCCCTCCTGATTCTTATGTCTGGGAAAATATTAAGTGATTCAATGAGGTTACAGTGATGCTTCAGTTTACTGGAAAATAAAAGGTTTTAATTCTTTCCGCAGCTCCATTAAGCATTTTCCTCGCAGGAGAATTTGCTGGAATAGTTAATGTGGAATAAAATATTCCACAGTACCCGGTCCAGGATAGAAATGTTCCAGCTCGGGTACACAGCTTTTTCCTAGTTTAGCCCATTTGGGGAATTACATTAAGCTAAAATGGATTCTCATTTGAAACAAGTTTCCAGTAACAGAGATGTTCATGAATCTCTTTAAATTTTAAACAGAGTTAACTCCAGAGCAATTTCCTAACACCAGGCCTTATTTTATTGCCGTACATTCCTGGGAGGAAATGGAAAATGAAGAAACGTACAAAGTCCCCAGATATCCCCTTCAATACGGCTTTCAAAGGGATGTGGCTTCACCGGGATCCTGCTGAGCACAGTAGTAAGTCCTTTAAGGAAAATCCCATTACTGCACCGTGTCTTACAGCTTTCCCTTTCAAAGAACTTCCCACAGCAAAGCCCATGGGAACGGGAGCACAGGCAGAAAGACCCAGATTGCGAAACCCAAGTCACACTCATTTCCCTCAGATCGGTCCTTGGAACAACTTTGCCGTCAGCTTGGAGTAGGGTTAATGCTTCAAGCTGAGAAGAAAAAAAAAAAAAGGTGGCTGAGGGTTCTACTCATGGCTTGACAAATAGTGCAGAGAAGGAAAGAAATTGCAAATAAATTTACAGAAGCCCTCCCTGCTTCTTGCGCTCCGGGAAGCGCCTGGCACCCAGCTACACTTGCCAGGCGGCAGATGAAAGCCAACAAGCAGCAGCACGTCCTCGCACACTCTGCTGTGCCTCTGCGGATCGTCCAGGGGCCGAAAGTATCAGCAGCTTTAACGTCTGACTCACTAGAGCAAAAGCAATGTTGGTCTGCGTGGTTATCAGAGCTGATAGCTCACTTGTGAGAAATCTCCAAGCAGCGGTTTGCAGCTGGGCATGCAAGGAGAGGGATCACGTTGTGTTTGCCCCCTTTGGCCCCACAGTAACGCCCTGCTCCCAGCCACACTCCTCAATACTGGAGCTCTGGGCTTTGGGTACCCTGATGCTACCCAGAGAGGGGTGTGAAAGGCAACAGGCAGACATTTGTGCCCTTCTCTCACCCCCTCTGACTGGCAGCAGGCAAAACCACGGGGACTTGGTGTGTTGGGGGCATCCCAAAAGCCTGCAGTGGCTGTTGCTGCTCCTGGCTCAAAGACTGGAGCAGAGCACCCTTAGGTGCTGAGACCAGGGGTTCGGCTGACTGAGCAGATCTGGAAACCAAGAAGGGCTGAAGCAGAGCTTAAAAGCTTCGTAAGGCTTTTGCTGAGGTTGTAATTAGGGCTCAAGAGCAGCGTGTTTTATCTGTCTTTCACACTCCTGTAAACACACAGAGATAGTGCTGACAGCTGCTGCTGAATCGAGCAGCTAAGGAAGGGCAAAATGCAGCTCCTCACAAATGGTAAAAAATCTAAGGTATTAGAAGTTCTCTGTCTGCACTCATACTGGAAGACCTTAGGATGAGCTTGTTTAACAGCACAGACAGCCATGCACACATCCACATGAAAGCTTTCCTAGCTTTTATTTTAGGGTTGTGTTACCTGAGAAAGGTAAAAGCAGCACTGTGCTGCCAAAGCGAGGTCTGAGAATCGTGCCTTGCTGTCAGAGGCTGGAATGTGGTCCCACAGAGACTTGGGCTGGGCACTTCCCATCTATATTTAGGGTGTTGCAATCCTACCCTCTCACCCACACATTCTCACCCTCAGCAGGATGCTGGCTCTGGCATCTCTGCAGCCGAGAGTGAGCTGGCTCCCTAAATCCCAAAGTCCCAAGCGGTGGCTTTTGTGCATGTGCTGTGGTGAGAGTGCACGGTGAGGCAGGACGTGGTGGCAAAACTGCTCCTCACTTTCAGCCACTTAATTGATTGAGAAAATGCTAAGAAGTGACTCAAAGCTCTCAAATACTCGATAGCACACGGTGATAAACCTGCACGTGCGGTTCTCACAGGAGCTGTCTGCAACACACCCAGAGCCTGACCCGCGGAGTTGTCTTGGATGACCTCTCATGCTGTGAGCCACGACAACATTATTAACAACCACCCGGCAGCTAATTACGCCTCACACACATCCCAGTGCACCAGCCTGTGCTGGGACAGTGTTTATGTGCCGAGTCTGTGCACGTTCCCACGCTCATAGTCAGCAGGAGCAAGGACTCACATCCATTCCCCATCCTCCCGTCTCTACCACAAAGAGGTGCACCCTTTGCTGCTCACACATTGCACTGAACGAAAACAAAAAAATGTACCGAGTTTAAGAATAGAAACCTGATGTTCTCTGCTTGTTTGATTTTTCTTTTCATATCAGTCAGCCCGGGAAGGTGCAGCCCTCGCTCTGTAGATTTAAGATTTATTCAAACAACTGTCAGACAGCGTGAAGCTTTTTTTTTTTTTTTTTTTTTTTTTTAGCAAAGTCCCACGTACACACAGCACTCCCACTTACACCACTCATTATGCCGCTTCTTAATATTTTCCATATCAGTCACTGCTGCACACCAGGATATACATATTGAAATTTGCCCTTCCCTTTTGATTCATTCAATAATGTCATCATGCACTGCCACAGATGTCAGCGCGGTGTCACTTACACTGCCTCGTGACACAGCTTCCTAAGCAGAGCAGTAAAAGTCGGGTGGTTAGGAAACAACTCCTAGCTGCTGCCATAGCAGTGGCAGCAATCAATCGTGGCACATTAATTAAGCGGGTATTTAGTAATATGCTGTAGTGAGATTATTTGACAGGGTTTCAGCAAGGAAAAATGAAAAATGAAAGTTTAAGACTGGAGATTTTGCTTTAAGCAGGGCTAGGTGTTTCTGATTTAGAGCTGCACACAGATTAAAAGTACGTTGTCCTCAGGCAGCACTTCTAGCTCCTGAAATCTCCTTTCCTTGTCCATGAGCCCACAGCTGTTGGAGCTGTGGCTTAACATGACAAATTCAATTTTCTTCTTACAGCACCTGTGGTTGCAAAACAAATACTGAAATAAAACTTCCAAATGTCCAAGAGACTGCAAAGCTACCAACCCCTCCTCATCCTCCTCCAATGTAAATCCTCTTTCTCTTAAAATGTAAAAGTTTTTTAGTTTTTGAATTATGATTACATTTAACGTTTAGGACTAACATAAAGTGGTGCAATGTCATTGTCTCTGCTTGCAGCCTCTGCTGCTGCAGATGGCAGAACCCTAACACTGTGGAACTTCAAAAAATTATTATTTAGACCTCGCTGTGGAGGGTCAGAGCCAGACTTCCAGAAGCAGCTGCTTAAAATAGCAACCATTTTTCTCAGTTTATAAATTTAAATACCATTTATGGACACAGCACTACAGAGAGGGGGGGTGTGCTCCCCTTCTGATATACAAACATAAGAGTTTCAGACCAGTAAGGTTAAACAAAACTGCCAAAACGACGACACACCACAGAAAACCTGTGGGCAGGCTGGGGAGGCGACACAGGAGCCAGAAACAGGAGCCGCATCCTCGGTTTGATGCCGTGAGGTGTGCGAGCACAGCACAGCAATGTGGGCCCTGCTCAGCACAGCACAGCCTGCACCGCAGACACTGCTCCCTGTCATCTCACCAGCCACACCGGTGGGCAAGGGCAGGCAAAACTCACCTCGCTGAGGACAAAAGGATGGTTTCACAACTAGCGCAGAGTCGAAACAGGCTGCTGAATTCATCACAGCTCCCCGGGAGTGTTGCAACCTCCGTACTTTCTTCCCCTGCATGGGAGTCTCTCACTTTTCAGTGAAACACTTTGTGCTTAAATGGGTGCAGCTATTGTACATCAGGGCCTTTTCAATGAAATCCTGAACGTGGCGTGAAAGGGCCTGAACAGTTTCAGGGTGTTTTTTCTTGATTCCTGCTAGTTGGGCACCCACAGTTTCGATCCCGTTTAGTAGCACATTACCTCGTGACAGGCGTCATTGGCTTCCAGGGACAAGCCGTGGTGTCTGGCAGCGAGCATTTACGGACACTGAGCCAGTCCCTGAGGAAAGGCCTTGTCTGAAATGTGCAGGCCACACCTCGCACCTCCATCTACTTGGCTGTAGGATCCGATCAGATGAGTGTAACTGCCCTAGATATGTTGGGTTTACCTCACTTTTTATCACACCAAAGCTCTCCTCAATGTAGATGACCTTCAGGAAGAAAAATTTACAGAAAGAAAGAAAGGATAAAATACAAGCAGAACCCTAAATTCAGACATTTCATTTGAGTCGCTAACACTGCATATTTTTGTACAAGTGCTGTAGTTTAGCGCTCAGCCTTTTATCTTTGCAAATGCAAGAGACAAAGTAAATAAGCATAACAAAATATATTTATATTTTATATTTAAACATTTCAATAGCCAGAAAGAGAATGGGGTTAAGACCAGGTACACAGAAAGTTAGTGTAAGGCAACATTATTTATAAATAAATTCCCTGGGGAATGACACCAACGATTTTTCTAACAGAAGACTTCACATTCTTCCCATATTTTCCTAAAACACTTAGAGGACTTGATTATTCTTTCTGAGAAGCTGCTAGCGCAATACGCAGACCTCTCAGATAGCTCAAAGTGCTATCAAATAGACCCCCGGTGCCAGCTGCTCTCTGATTTTGTACCAGGCTAGAGGCAGAACTGGGACTTCCCCTTGTACGGAGGCAGGCCGTGGGCTGTATGGGGTCTCAGCAGAAATGAGGAATGGGGTCACAGATAAATGTCATGGTGAGACAGCAGGGTGAGGACAGAGCCATGCTGCAGGCAGGCAGGAGGACGTTTCCATCAACTACCAGCCCTTACTGCAGGGAAACCCAGGCTGGGCTTCAGGTGTTTTGTCTCTGACACCACCCTGCAAGCCCCTTGGTCTGTGCTAAGTTCTGCCCTGCTTTCCTTCACAGGCAGGGCCTGGCACCTCCTATCAACAGGCACAGATCTCTGACAGAGGTTGCGGCTCCTTTCCTGCATCACTGGAGATAGATTGCCTTGTACATCAGAGATTACTGCAAAGTCCAGACTAGACCATTCTTGTTTGGGGAGAAAATGAGAAAGTACAAAAGGTGACTGTGGGTTATGTTTATAGACGTACTGTGCAGTGGCAAAGCAGTACAGAAACCAGAGAACACAGAAGGGCACCAAAAATTACCAGTTCCAGGTGGATTTCGTGTGTCACCTACCTGTGAACGATCTGCAGGGAGGTGGGAGTTCGTGTGGGCTGCTGCCATGGCTGGGCTAGGAAGACAGTAAGCATGTCAAGTGTCTTCAGAAATCAAAGCAGCACATGGATTCTAGAATTAAAGACCATGTCTGGATGCATATACTCAGGGAAGGCTAAGCAAAATCTTACAAGCAACAATAATTCAAGCTTTTTTTTTTTTTTTTTTTTTTTTTTATGTCCACTTTTGCATCCATAATTATGTTCTTTTGGGACAGATTTACACATATAACACACACCAACACTGCATCTATTTGTGTAACACACAATGCTCTGTGTCATTCACCAGGGTAAAATTTTCGAGGAGGAAATCCTGCCTGCCTGGTGGTGCCTTCGCACAACCTTCCTTCCCTTCCTTCCCCTCAGCACAGTACGAACAGCACTGTGAATGCCCTTGGCTCTCAGCTGCACACCTGACTGTGCAGACCTTATTTACTTCCCTGTATGGCTCGGGTACACTTACACTATTCACAATTAGATGCACAATGCTGTCAGCTGCAGCATCACGGCATAAAACAGAAGCTACCTTCTCTCTCCTGTGGCTCTGGTGTGCCATACACCCTTCTTTTTCTCCTTAGTATGCAAAGAGCATACTAAGTGTGTGTGTTTAATGTGCTATTTCGTCTCTGTTTTTGAGCCTGCTACTAATAGCTAAGTAGTTCTAAATGTTTATGCTGGCTCTCTTAGAATAGTTCATCTTGTATTAGGGTCAGTAGGTTCTCATTGACTTCAAAATAGATTTTACTCCTAGCCAATAATTTCGAAACAAATAATACTTTTTTTTTTTTTTTTTTTTTTTTTTTAGACAAGCAGTATCTTGATATTCTTGCTAATGCTTTATCCATCTGTTGTGACTCTTGATAGTGTTTTGCAGTTGGGATTACAAAAGCTTGTAAAATGCAAAGGAGAGGATGGGAAAACACTAAAGCTCCCGGTTTGGGCTCTAGCTCAAACACATTGCTGTATGCTGACAGTGTGTAGGCACTCAGTTACAACACAACACCCACTGCCACCAAGATGTCTATAAATAAAAAAATGTGGAGTTTTGCTCTTCCACATCCAGCTCATTTCAAAAGGGGCGAATTATATCCTCATATTACACTGAGATATCTACACTGGTTATTCTGAAATAGTTTTTAGGATAAAAAAAAATCTCTAAGTGGAAGTGCTGGTTACTTTCCAGAAATGTTTCATTATCTATAATCATTTTTTTTTCAAGTATTACACCTTTGTATGGAGAGGTTTACCTTCGCCAACGCAAGCTAGCAGTGAGCTGTTTGCAATCAACAGTGTCTAATTCTGAGCTATAACCCATATGCTGCCGAGCACCTGCTCTCCGCCCACTTGCAAACACTTACTGGCCTCTGCAGCTGTTCTGGGTAGCTGGAAGACAACTTCATCAATACATATTCTGTATGAATTTACACCTTCCCACATCCATCAGTTTTTCTACCCTGTGCTGTACTGCCTCGCGTTGCTTCTGACCGAACGCAACCGTATCTGACACAGCAGAAAGCCTCTTCCTGGCCAGAGGTCACATTGCTGTGCAGCAAGAGCCTCGCTAGCCCAGGAGTGATTTATGGTTGGCTGGAGATTTTGAACTGATAATGTTATTTGTGGTGGTAGATTGCTCACGCGTCAGGAGTAGTGCAAGACACTGAAAAAGGAACACAGTGTTCTGCTATTTATGTTTTCTGTAATAGTTCCCTCAAAGACTAACGTTATTAACTTTCCTGTCAGACAAATGACGCTTAATTTTAGGCCATTAATGCGTGCGCCTCTTACACCTCAGGAGGTCCTGAACGAGCTTAAAATCTGACATAAATCTGAAATATACAAGTAGCAATGTGTAATAGATGCACTTATTTCAAGGCAGCTGTTTCTGGATGGCTCCTATCACGATTTAGGACCTCAAGCCATCAGCAAACTCTAAGAGAAGTTGCATTGACTTAAGCGGCATTACTCGTGCTTTGCTAGACCAAGGTCTCAGTGCTTCCAGCCTGGAGAGTTTGGAGTGGTACCCATGAGAGGGCCGGCAGGGAAGCACTATTTGACTAAAAACATTAAAATGCACCCATAGGCTACAGCAGCTGTAACCATCTGCATGCACGACACGGAACACGGAGAGTGCTGAGGCTGGTTAGATGCACAGAAAAAAGACCTGGTTAGAAAGAGGCTGACATTTGCACATAACTGCGTTTCAGCACACAAGTGTGTTCCAAACAAAAAACAGTTTCCACTGTTGCCCTTTTCGCACATGCTCAGAAGTTTCCAGCCACTCACCTTTGGCAAAAAGCTTCGTGCCTGGCCCCTGCGAGAAGGTCAGTTTGTTCTGAAACACGAACAAAAATTCCTTCAGCTGTCAAAGCTGCGTGGCAGCAAATGAAATCACTTTTATATCTCTTTTCTGCTTCATCACTGTAACCATATCATGCATCCCAACCTCTCTTACAACATCCAGATACTTTTTTTTTTGAATGTCAGATTTGTTGATTGGTAAACAGAATTTATCCCCAAAGAATTTAAATACATAACAGGGAAATCAGGTCTCTTGTTGCCATGTTTTTGATTGTTTTTAGCGAAACCTATTTTGGTCCTGTACCTTTTGTGCCACTGTCACAATCTTTAAGTGCTCATGCTGACGTTTGCATAATTTGCATGAGGGAGACCGAAATGTTTCAAGGAAACACAATGTAAAGTCTAGGAAGAGAATGCTTTTCATATGGGGTGGGAAGGAAACAACAGAGGCAAGGACAACTGGGGTAATATTTTCCATTATGCCATTCAGGGCTTGCTCTACAGGCTGCATTTATTCTGACAGACGTGCTCTAAACCATAATTTTTCACTGGACTGGTATATTTCGGCCAACTATTTCCATATGAACCTACAGTTCCCCTATAGTCTTTCAGCAGAAAAAGTGCAGACAGATGCAAATTAGACCATGATGTTACTGGAAGATCTACCTGCACAGACCATTTATCTTCCAGCCAGTGCCCAGCTGAAGAAAGGAGAATCCTGCAAGGAGGATCAGGAGAAAGGAGGGACTGAGAGGATTCCTTCATGTGCTGCAGTATCCTTTCAAAACACCCAAAGCAACCATTATTCCCCCCCATATTTACCTGAAATTCCAGTCCAGGCCCATGGTCCCACCAGTCAGGACAACGCCACTGAGCTGGGAATGATAGCTTTTGTGTTATTTTTAGAAAGCTAAGCTAGGTTAGTCACAGCTCAGAAGTGGTCCCAGGGAGGGGCAGGACTGCATAGTCCAGGGAGCTGAGGAAGGGAGGGGAGCGATGAGGTAGGGCAGGGAAGGAGGAACAGAAACATGCCGAGCTGCTCCACTGGCTAGACTGCCACTGAAAGCCTTGCTGAATACCTCAAACATTTTATCCCAGCAGCCAAGATATACCTTGGCTGGAACTTAAAGAATAATAAGGGAAGATGAGAAGACGGGAGATTTGGTGGAATAACAACAGTAGTCTTAAAAACCTGCAAAAGCCAAGCGATATAATAGTTATCAGAAATTAGCACACCAACAAACAGAAAAATCTCCTGAGCGATAGAGCCAGTTTAAAACCACAGAGGAGCTATCTTCTACTTGCAACTTCCCTCTATTTCTGTGATTATACGTTTGTTAACCCTGATAATTTATTGCATTGCTTCTATAAATATTACCTATGTTGGATTGCTTTGTCACCCAGCTTACATTTCCCGCATAGATCCCACGTGATGTTTCTCACCCAATCTTTTCTAGAAGATCTAAAAGACTAACGACTGCCAAGATAATGATGTTTCACTGAGAGGCACCTTCACACTCTTACGGCACTTCCAGCTTTGCTGGGTGCACGTGAGTGTGTAGGAGAGATGACAAATGTAATGACAGGAGAGATGGAAATAAGAAGGCTGGACTTTTAAAATACAGCATCTTTATACATGCAACCTGCACCTCAGATAACCTCCACTTTGTCCAAAGACAAACCTTCTTTACTCACATCATCCAGTTACCCACAGTATCCAATAGCCGAGAAAATTAGAGCTGGAAAAAGATCACAAGTGATGAGGCTGCCAGGAAAGAGAAGGTTTAGGAAGATGCCTCCTCTTGTATTACCAGCACAGCTGATGAAATGCAGTTTGTTTTACAGTCATCTAACAGTTAAAAATAGCATGAAAATGTAGTACAGAACAGAAAACTTTTAGGATTGAAAAAACATTTGTGGAAATTACTGCAATAACTGCCAATATGTAGAAGAGAAAGAACTATATTCATTACACACCAGGGGAAAAAAAAAAGTGAGGATGACAAGAAGACAGGTCAGAGTTCACAGCTGAATCCTTAACCCCTTGCACATTTAGTGCCTGCTGTCCTTTCACTTCCCTCCTGGTGCAGAACACTCCAGTCTTCACCATTACTTTTTTTTTTTTTTTAAACCAGTTTTTCCTTACCACAGATGAGAAGTGGCGTAACCAAGGACTCGAGCAGTCCAGCTTCTGTTGCATAAGAACCTTCAGGATTTGGGGAATCTCAGTATTAAAAACTTTTTTATTATTATTATTTTTTTTATTATTTTTTTAAATGCAACAAAGCATTCACAATGTCACGGAGTTACAGTGGAGCCCTTATGAACTTCACAGGGATGGAGTCATTTCACATTTATTACATCACAGTACAGACTTCAGAAACTCATTTATTTTATGCTTTAGAATGGATACTTATGCATTTATTTTTTGTTATCACATTTCAAATTACTTCCCTGCATGTAACTCCATCCCTTCAACTTTCCGTACAGGTCAAAGACCTTTTTAATCTTCTCAGGAATCTGGATGTATTAGAAATAAGAACAAAGGTGAGAAAAGAGGAACAGAACAAAGAAACTACACAAAACCACGGCTGTTCTAAAAGCCTGAACACTCAGAGAGCTGCATTTGCACCACAGACTAAAATTAATGGGTATCACACCTTTCAGCTACCCAGCTCAGGGAGAAGGCAAGTCCTTAGGAGAGCAGAGATTTTATTTCTCCACAGACAAAAATAAAAATAAAACCCTAAGCGAAAAGCTGAAATGTTTCTCTTTTTGCTTATAATAATGTTATTTCTTCGAAAAGAACATCCTTCACTCTGTAATAAGGAACTCAAGCATTTATAGTAATATATTTTAAATAGAACATGAATAGTTTAAAATCAGGTTAAAAACAATCTGGCTTGTAGTGCTTAATGGAAGATGGAAAATGCAGTCAACAGAGAAACATTATACTTCACAAGGGAAATGTTCTAATCTATTCTTAACTCATTTTTATCAATAATTCCCAGAGCTGGCTTCTAGCCATTCCAGATGAATAATCTAAAGCCAGGAAAAAAGCAGTTTGGACAGACATTATCCACATCTGTAATTCATCTGCCTTGCTATATTAAGTCATTCACCTGTTAAAAACTAATTTACTGGTATATAGATTAATATGCTTAAAGGTTACACAGCTAAAAATAACGCTGCCTCCAGGATTTTCTATACTGTGAAATACATAAATTCTCCTTGTCAGGAGGCTGCTATAAAAAGGCTTTTGCTTGTACTTCTAGAAGCAGACATTTTAAAGTTCAGTCAGGGGTTATATTTGGCAAACACAACCTGAATAGCTTCACAACATATATAAAGTTGCGTGGCTTGTTATTGAAGGTACTTCGTTATTGTCATTATTCGGGGGAAAAAAAGCTATTGTTTTTACCATGCACAAACAGAACAGTAGAATGTGCCTAAAACCAGCAAAATTATGTATGAATATATATATATATTTTTGTCAGCAGTGATTTTTTTTTTTTTTAATAACAACAAAAAATAGTTTAAATCTCTAAGTGCTCGATGGCTGAGCCAACTTAAAACCATAAGTTCACTTTCTGCAAAATGACTGCCCCAGCAGGATGCAGCTGTGGCTCCTTCCCCCCCCCTCCTATCATTCCTGTCCTGCTCGCCCACCCCAGCTACCGCTGTCCCAAGGATCCTGACCCTGCACACCCCATCACCCGCTGCACCAGGCAGCCCATGCAACAGTCGGCCAGCATCTGTCCCCTGCTGATTTTAGCAGGAATGAATTAGGGAACGTGGTTTTATTCTACCTTGCGCATTGTGAATAAAACCGTTCGCAAGGCTGCACAGACGCACTGTAACCTCTGTGCTGCTGTTACAACAGCTCCAGTAGGGCTTAATAGAATATTTATTGCTTGTCATTAAATACAAAATGGAAAAAATGCTCTTCAACCTCTGGGAGTCTGGGATGACTTTCGCTGACCTGAAAGAAACAAACAAGGTTTCCATCTCTAATTTTGATTTGGAAAACACGGAGAAGTACTTCATGTAGGGTTAACTCTAGAGCTCTCCAGTGGCCAGGACATAACCCTTCAGTGCCACTCAGCAAGGCCTCGTGTCTTCTATGTACAGCCAAAGCCTCACGGCATGCTAATGAAAACGCAGCAGGAAAGCCAACGTGGCAGAATGCCAGTTTCGTTAAATAGAAAATGTGCAGCTAGTAAGCTCTTGTCCATAAAAGAAGTTATCCGAGGGCCAAAACAACAATGGAAAATTGCAGTTCTAGTGTCAACGCTATGCCAAGGATCGTCAGAAACAAAGGGATTCTGCTCCAACTGAGCAGATGGAAATTCTTCTATCGCGTCGAGATAAAGCAGGCCTCCCTCCCGGGACCCAACCACACGGTTACACCGCTGCCCGAGCAAAGCCTTTCAGCCACTCCCATGCAGAGCAGCATCCAGGAAGGCAGCTTGATACTGCAGCTATTTTTATGATTGATCTCCATTTCTCTTGTGCGGAGAGATACGAGCACAAGGACACCAATGTTCCATGAAAAAACTTCCTTTGATAAACAGGATGTTGGATTTCATTTGGGGTCCCCCTCACACCTGTTCTCTTTATGGCTGCGTAAACATCCTCGCCTCCCCACAGATCCTTTTGCATACTGTACACATAACACATCTTCCTCCTGCTATATTCATCGCTTCAGTGGGAGCAGTCGGCGCGTCACTCAGTGCTCATGTTAACGGGGCGCATGAATCACTCCTTATCTCATTTATGGCACCGTGGCAGAAAAACGCAAAGACAAATACATGAACCCATTCACAAACATTGCAAAGAAATGCACAAGTTTTCCTTTTAGCAGAACAAATAATGAGAAGTGACCTATCAGATCACAAGATCAGCTGGCATCCTGCTCTATAGAATTACTTATATTTACCTTCTCTTGCCTTATCTAACTCAATTAACTTGCGTTCAGGATATGAGTATACATTCATGTTTGTCTTTCCAAAGAGAGTACCATGACTGGAGCAAAGCTCTGCTGGAGCAAAATTCCACTGAAGTCAACATTATCCAGCCGTGCAACACTAACATGGACACATGGGCTGAGTTATCCTTTGTTTTTGACTGGTTAGATCACGTCCTGAAGCCGTGCCGTGGCCCCGCTGAAGTCCATCAGTGACCACACGAGGGGCTCCAGGCCCTGCCTCCAGCAGGGTGCTCTGGGGAACACCCTGGGGTGTTCCTGAACAAATGAGGAGTGAGCAATGTCAGCTTAAGGATGCTCCAGTCAACAGTCCTCTCCATTTGCACCTTTCCCCACTCTTCTGGGTCCCTATCTCTTTTCCTCCCTATCTCCTCTGACTCATCTGGGCTTTCACTGGTGTGTGCACTGCCTTCCCCTGCCTTCACACCAAGGACCATTCAATTCTGCAGGACAAGCACTGGCTGCCTTTGTCCAGAGAAGTCTAACTGCAGCACGGAGGAAAAAAAAACACGAGATACCAAATTCTGATTTAAAAGTGAGGTTTATACATAGCAGCGAGAACATTAAATCTTGAGGTAGGCGCGGGTACGTGAGCTTACAATTAATATGTGGCTCTTCTAGAGTAACTCTGTTTGTGATTCAGCTCTTAAATTTGGGATGGCAATTCTCTTGCAAGATCAAACACAGATCCAATATGTGTAACAAAATATAGGCTTTATCTTGAGACATATATCATCTTAATAAACAAAAGACAGGGACAGAGACAGGAAATCAATAAACTCGGTCTAGGAACAATATCAGGAACAATGAACTGGGGAAGAATAATAAGAGGAAATAGAGAAGATCAAGCACACTGAAGTAATTTTAGAAAGAAAGAAGACAATGACGTTCCTCTCAGCTAACAGGGGAACTACACTGAGGGTCACCTGGGTAGCTAGAAGTTATAAATAGCATGGAACAATAGCAAGTAAGAAACACAAGAACTTTTCAAGCTGAGAGGAAAGAAGTTTGACTTTAGAGTTCCAATATTTTTTTTTTTTGTGTAGTAACTAATGATCATGTGAGAAGGACTCTACTTTTTTCCTAATTAGAGGTTGTTTATGAGTGCCCCTCTCATGGTGTGTCAGTTAGGAAGTCCAGGGCTGAGGAAAAACTGCCAAATCAGAGCTCCTGGCACATGGCCACAGGGCAAGATCAGAGAAACTAACTGAGTATTTCCAGTGGGACTGAGTGAAGAGGTAAAAATGCTGAAGAGCTTATTTAAGACAGCTTTCTAAATGACTGCGGAATAAAGGGAGATCTGAAATAAAACATTTGAGGCAAGAAAAAAAAAGTTAACTTGATTTTGAGTTGTCTCAGGCAAAGGAAGACCATATACCTGTAAGTATATCCCATACCTCTGATTGCCTTGATGTTGTTAGAAATGACTGACAATGAGCTGATCTTTAAGAAGCACTGGTCCAGTGTTGAATGAGCTGCTGACCATTTAGGAACGGAGTTTATCTCACAGGATTTTTTTCCTACTCCTCCACTACCCTCATTTACTTTAATCAAGCAGCAAGGTACAATACTTGTGGGCATTTACCAGCCTGCAATGCACAAGGAAAAGTTACAAGCAAGACAATATGAAGAGAGATGCAGGGGGGTAACAGTAACCACGGCTAGGACTGCACTGTAACAGTTCTTTTTAATAGAAAATTCCTAATTATTCCACTAAATCAAGCTCAAGCAACCCCATCTCCCAAGATAGCTAGTGACTTGCCCTATTCAGCACCTGGGTGTTTCACTGAAATCCCCTATTAAGCTCATAGAAATCTATTTATAGTTGTCATTGTAACCATCCAGTTTTCTGACTTTTCATGGGTATTTCATTACATCCTTTGTTTTCCAAAATGAGTCATTCTTGCTTTAGAGTCATTTCTGAAGACAATACAATATGTGGAGATAATGTAATATTTTCCTGCCTCCAGGAGTTTTCTCAATAATTTTATTTCATTTCAGAGGACATTGTAAACATGTCTAATCACATTTCTATTCCTCTTGGGCTATACCATCAGCTACTTTTAAACAGCATAGCTCCAATTTGGGTACCAATTCTAATGAGTCTTTCTCACTGAAATTAGCAGCATGATACAGATTGACGTTCAAATAAGATTTGGCCCGATTACATAATGTCTAACTACAGGCATTAGTTTATTTATTAAACAGTTGGAGAAACAACAGTTCAATTATTTTTTAAAGCTCTTAATGACTATATAAGTAGGAAAAGCACTAAAAAAAATCATATATATGAATACAGTAATGAAAAAGAATAAACAATATTCTTTTGGACCAACTTTGAGCTTTGTCACTACCATGACTGCCACTCGTTTATATGCCAAGACGACCTGTGGCATCCCAACTGTCCAAAAGGCATTTGGGAAAATTCATACATTTGTCCCACTGTGACCACCAGGACAACACAGACCTGCAGCAGGATACTTAACAAAGGTCGCTGCTGGATTGTATTTTGCAAGTTTTGATTAAAGAGAGCTTGCAGCTATTTTTAAATTCTAGAAAACAGGCCTAACAAGGACAGACAATTAAACTAGTCTATATTTGGAGACATACTTGCTGACAATGGATTTGGCTTGAGTTGCCTTTGCTCTTTTCTGACCCCAGTGAGTCAATATTTTATCCTGAGTTTCAAGCTAAAAGACCACGACCAGATGTGTTTGATACACATGTGATTTTTATGACTGATTTATATATACTGACAAATTCTTGTCTTGGTTCTCCTTTGCTTCTCTTCCTCCCTCGCCTCTACTCTAGACAAGAAATAAAAATACCTCGGCCAACAGAAGGGTTTATTTGACCTCATTATACGAAGTCTAGTCGCAAACAACATTTTGACTGAGCAAAGACTTTGCAAAATGATATTCCTGCTGTGCTACAGGATTATCTTTCACTCTGATTACATGCAAATAATATGAGATCTGAAAACTATAGGGTTGTTTTTTTTTCCAACTTTCGTCATCAACAGCTGGCATGCTATGTGATGAAGAAGAAGAAAAAAATGCGTTTTTGTACTTTCAGAACTCATAACATTTGTGCTGGTTTCAGTGAAAAACACCAAACAGTCCTTGTTTTGTTCCCCCAAAACATATGGGTTTTAGTTACTGATTCTTAAAAGAATCCAGAGCTTCCACTTCCCTTCAGGATCCCTTCAGGCTTATTCAGGACACAACAATGAGAAATTGTGCGTCACTTAGTATCTGGTAGTTTTAATCTTGATAATTTAAGATATTAGTATGTCCCACCACTATTTATTTTGTACTTTAATAACATTCACATGAATTTAAACAGGTAAATAAAAAAAATCCCAAATTTCCCATTATGGGTGACAGACTCTGTTCTGCGTAGCTACCTGTTAGATGTGAATAAAGCAGCCAAAATCAGCCCTTTAAGAAAAAACCTTGCCAGTTTATATCAATAAAAGGCAAACAAGAAAGAAACGTTACATACATGTATATTAGAAATGGGATGCATGTTTTCCATAATGAATGCTAACATCCATTGGAAAAAATACCGAGAAGAAACAGCGAGAGCTTCCTGCAGACTTCTTCAAATGTGCCCTACCACAGAAGCAATGTGAGCCGTGATAACTATTACAGTTATTAGAAGTATTTTGCTCTCCATCTGGAAGTTTAACGAAGTATTAGCCCAAACTGATGAACATTCAGATGAGGAAATTATACCTAAATATTCATTATTAGAATGAACTGGAAAAATTATATCCCTGTCCAATTACATCCCAGTCCACTATTCAGCAAGGTCCACATATCCTGTTGTATGCCATAAACACCTCCTGTAAGCTCAATGCACCTTGAAGGAAAATGCTAGTGCAGCAGCTTTTGCCATAGGCTCCTGCTAAGAGTGGGATAAATAAAATAAACGTAACGTTACAGTAAGATCATCCTGTTCCAGGTACAGCAGGGCATGGACAAACCTGTTCCGCTTTCCCTTTGTATCGCTAATGCTCTAATTTTAAATCTTTAAATATTGCTTCTTTGTTGAAAGGGATTTATGAGCAGGCACAAGTTGTCTCGTGTGCCAATAAATACCCTGGTGGTGGAATAGATACCTGAAGAGCTGTGAGGTGAGTTTGTCTGGTTTAGACTCCTGCAAAGAATTTTAGTAGCAAGCTGGAAGATGCAGGAGTAGTCTGCAAAGCCGTGGTGATACATGCTCCTAACAAGCCTAACTCAGAAAACTAATAAAAGTCAGTAGTGATGGACAGACTTCAAATTTGGGATGTACAAATCAAAAGATGGTGCCACTCAGAGGACATTTCCTGGCCTAATGATAACATAAGGCAGGAACATACTGCTCAGAGCATCGGGCTGTAGAAGCTTAAAGAAGCTTGCAGGTTCCTCAGGACGAGTCAAGCAGTAGCAATTTTTGATTTTTTTTTTTAAATTATTTTTTTCAACATTTAATCTGAACAAACTAAGGTTGAGAAAGAGACAGTTATCAATGGATACTAAATATATATATATATATATATATATAATATATATACATAATACTATATAAGATCATATAGAGAGAGATACTTTATTTTTAAACTGTCATTCCCAGAGCTGAAGTGAAGAAACAAGGCAGGGGCTGGCCACAGCATGTTACATTAATCAAAGGCTTAAGGTGTGAAATTACTGAAACAAAGTTGTAGCCCTAGACACGAGTTTCAAGTTACCCTCTCAACAAAACGAGCTTCCACTTGGGAAGATTCCCAAAACCACGCAAATGGGCTCAGCAGCACCTCGGGGCTACACACGATGCTGGGTGGCTGCAGAGTGCCAACCCCAGCCCCAGGTGCTGCCCCAAACCAGAGAGGAACCCAGGGACAGCAGGAAATAGAAGAGGGAATCTTTCATGAAGATAATGATCAGCAAGAAAACTACTGACAAAAGTTACAGTAAAGATGAAAAGTGATTTGTATAAAGGGTAGGGCAGTTTGGCACTGAGCTCCACGTCCCAAACCAGCAGCGCGGTTGCTGCGCTTTTCATTCAGACTTGAAAACATTTGCCTTTGAAAACATTTGAAAACAAGTGATGCAAGATGCTCCTCGCCCACTAGCTGCAACCTCTCTGGTCTTATGGTGCCCTTACACTGCCTACGAAGGACAGCCCCAGGGAACTGGGGGATCACAAATAAGATTTTATGACCTACTGGCTCGTGCCATTGTACCCTGTCCACTTACTCACACACCGGTATGGTCGTGGGCACACTCCACTGGTTAGGAGAACTCTCTACCGCATCCAAACACTGTAGTACTGCAAATGCTTCCAAAGATTTTGAGTATATTCATTATTGGGATAACTGCTCCTGAGAGCCTTCCTTTTATTTATCATTTATTCGGTCAGCAGAGAGTGCAGATGCAGGGGATGCAGTGGCATCTTCATTTTACACCAGTGAAGCGGAGCACAGAAGCTGAAATAACTTGTCCTGCAGAAAATCAGTTATGGGATTGAGAAGAGAATAAAGCCCTAGGCTTATAGACCAGTGACATAATCACAAGACCCAGCTTTCCCTAGTGTAATTATTCTTACTGAAACCAAGTTATCATTGGACACCTGGGATGCTAGCCAGGGAATACATGGCAAGAACTGACCCAAAGGGAATTAGAAGTTTGCTTCGTGTTACTTCCAGCCACGTTAATATTTAATAGCCCCTACTAAGGCTGATCTGAATTTTTGCAGTGGTTCCCAAAGAGCTGAGAAGGTCTCTGAGGGAAAGGACAGATGCAGAGAACTGACTGAGGTGCTCTTTACCTCATCGTGTCCTCAAGTAGCATCTGTGCCTGCTTGCAACTATCCCAACCTGTTTTTTCACGCTGAACTTGAAACGGTTTGGCTTGGATGAATGCCTGTAAACGATACACAAACTTTACCTTTGTTTACTTGTTCTAGCATTGTTTTTAGTGCCGCTGGTATCTGCTACTCCACAAAAACAACAAAAAAAGCTTTTGATTTCTTGATGGTAGAGAAGCACGATCCCTTGCATGGAAATGCTCTTAATGCTCTTTGTACCCCATGACATACTGAAAGCCGCCCATAAATATTGACATTTTTGCGTTAGGTGACATTCCAAAGAAGCCATCGCTGACTTCTTGTAAGCGACCCAAATATCAGAAAGGCCCAGGCTCAAGCATCTTGCTGCTTGGTGCAACTGACAGAACAGTTAAACAGAGAAGCAGCAACCCTAAAAATAAGTTGCCCACACAGGGAAATATTTTCCTACAGATTATATGGCATATATTTGACATTTACTTGACCTCATTATACAGTCAAATATGATATGTGCAGCAAAAAAGGTAGGTGCAGCAAAATTATACTTAAAAAAAAAAATCATGGCAGGAAGGTACTTTCAAAAGTTGTACTAAAACCACTGCAAATTCTGTGCTCAGAGGGGCAGGGACCAGGTGCAAGGGTCACTGCTCTGCAGGGTGGGCAACAGCAGAAAACGCAGGGCTGGCTGCTGCTTGCTCACCTCCAAATCCTCTGCTGGCCTTAGCACCTCACCCACACAACTCCGTGTGCCAGGATAACCTTGTAGGAAAATGCTACTGTGTTTGAATCAATGCAAATGTTTCTTATGTAAACCGAAGCACCTTTGCAGTAATATAATTTGCAACCTGAAAAACTGCAGAATTACTGCCATTTACAGTAATCTACTCTCGCTGTGTTCACCTTGTTTTGTTAATTACTGGAAGATCGATAACACCATCCCCTACTTCAGTGCTCTCATCTAAAAATCTTAAATCTTACTTTTCCTTATTGAATGTATCACATATGATCAACTATTTGTTTTACAGCACTTTTGCCCAATACTACAAAAACCTGATGCAAAACCAAGAGAGGACTCCATGAGAATACAGCATTTCTCTTTCTAGTCTCCATATTGAAAGGAATGAGAAATCATTACATGTTAGGAGAACAGATAATGGAAGCAGTGTGGAGAAGAGACTTCTGCTCCCAAGTAGGAGACAAATTGGCAAGCCCAGGCTTTTCACAAGAACCTCATTCTCAAAAGGGAGAAGAAAAGTTAAACCCAGAGTTTGATTTTAGCCTTCTGTGTTCAGGAAAAACAGTCTGAGACAGTCCCAGTGCAACCTCTGCAGATATAAAATTCATAGATGTGGCTTTGCAGAAGTCTATCTTACATTTGCTTATGCACCCAGATGTAAATGATTCCCATACGTATTTGCAGGGCTATTTGGAAAATGTTATGAATTAGAATTGCTCAGTCAGATCATTCAGTGTGATTCACTGTCTTGGACATCATCCTTCGATCCACTGCATAGCGGACAGATGTTTCCAGATGAAGCATTTGAAGAGGCAGTGAATTTCTGCAAAGAACCTTACTCAGTCACTTCCAGCAGCCCTCAGCGATCCCATCCTCAGAGCAGCTCCCATCACTTCTCTTCTCTGTCAGATGAAGATAAAGCTGTGGTTTCAGCTGTTGTCGAAGGCAAAATGCACACTACTGCCATCATCCTTCAAGCTAAGGCAAGTCTTGATTAAACAACGAGACGCATCCACTGAACTGCTCATCTTTTGATGCTTACACAGGAGAGCAAAATGCCTGTGACAGTGGAAGGATCAAGTCCTGTTTCGTGCTACTCACACTCAGAAAGGTGCTTACTTGAAGAAGGTATTTGTGTATGCAAGGAACTGCACACCTGGAAAAGTGCTGTCTTCAGGCTGTGGGGTCCGTGGTTTTTTTTTGTTGATTGTTCATTTTACAGGAAAAAAAAAACACTTTAAACAGAGATAGAGGCTAAGTGGAGTCTCTGCACTGAGTAATCCTCATACATGAGAAACATTATTATTATCTGTGATGGTATAGACAAAATGATGGCACATACCTAAATGGTCAGAGACACAGCTGCTTTCTCCCCACCCCCCAAAGTTTTATATTATAATAATGAGGGACAAATTCTACTTTCTGCCAGGGACTTCAAAAGAATTTGTAGAGATGTGGAACAGAACAGGATTTGTGCGCTTGCAACAAATCATGGCAAAGCGTCATGTTTCTAGCAGACTTGATTTTTGAAAAAAAAGCTGGGAGTCACGCACTAAAGCATTCAGTAAACACATGACCTCCAACACACAACTGACAACATCAGGAAACTCCAAGACATTTCTGGACAAGGATTTTTCTTCATCTTACCCTTAATGAGGCTCAGTCTGACAGCAACTTAGTTATCAAGGTTCTTCATTAGGCAGGCTCAGCTATTCATGTCAAGGTATTTTAAGAATGTCTCTGATTTATCGTTGGAAGAAGCAGAACTGCTGAGCCTTAAGGCTTTTGCACATTGTGGGAACACATCAGGCCTTGAAAGCATTGCCCACAGACCCCACAATACGTATGACTCATGAGATGCTATTCTTTTTTCAGTATGCAATTAAAAAATATTATTTATAGGATCACACATGCTACTAAGAAACTGTTTTTCTCTGAAGTTTAGGCATAGCAAGGGAATAATAATTTGGGTAAAATGTAGTATGCACAACTTCTTTGAACTAGGGCCACGTAACATATCTTGGCAAAATATGTGGTTATAAAGAAGGACTCCAATTTCCCAAAATAATTCTGACATTAACAAGTTTGCTGAGGTTAACATCTGCCTGTTTTTGTCTCTGAAGTGACTTGAGCACCAAAGGAGTTTAAAGAACATGAACAGTGCATTTCCTTGTCTTAGGGTACTCCTGTGCCTCATGATGGGTCTTTACACATATCCTCGTACAGGTCTTTCAGTTCTGGAAAAATGCTCTGGATAGGACTTGTCAAAAGCATTCAACACAGCCACATCTCTTCCACCACAGTTTGGGGCAAGAGGTCGGTAAAACCCAGTAGGGCAGAGAGGCATAAGCTGTATATTACATGACTGTTCTTGCCATTGTCACTTGTGCTCTGAGGACTTCAGTGACGCAGGAGATGGCTCATCAGTGCTCATCTTGGTCCAGGCTATAAAGACAAAATCTTTACAAAGATGACATTTACAAGAAAATTTAAGTCACAATCAGCTGGAACAAAGCATTACAGAATGGCACTAGGTTTATGATAGTACCTTTTCTTTGCACAAAATACCCCTTTTCTGAAGCTGATTACACCGTAGAGCATGAAGCATCATCTTACTGAAAATGAGCAGGAATTGGTTGTTTCGCATGCAGGAATCAGAAGAGAGGTAGGTACAGTTCCAAATAAAGTGGCACCTTGTAACGTGGGCTAGAACATGAAGCTAGAAATTCATGAGTGTTTAAAGCCATGCTCGCACCTTGTAGTTTCAAACCTACTCGGGTTAGTCTGCTTTTCATGCCTGAAGCCTAGGAACTGTTTTAAGCCTAGTAATAGTTTTCTACGATTTGAGTAAAACAGAAATATTTTTTTTTTTGCACATACTAAAAAAAGCA